AGGCGAACACCGTCCGCAGACCCCAGCCGGCCCTCCCGCCCGCCCGCCCGCAGCCAGACCGCCGCCCCTCCCTCGCTGAGCGCCCGAAGACCCTCCCTCCCCCCCTCTCCCCGGAGCCTAGAGGCGGCGGCCCCCACGTCGACCCTTACCACAGAGCCCCCTATTAGATTCACGCCCTCGGCAAAATCAGTCCTCCAGGCCGAACTGCAGCCGCCGTGGCACCGCAATCAGGACCGGCCCCGCCCCGCCCCCGGCCTCCGCGCAGACCTAGTCGCGGCCAACATGGCTGGTCCGCCTCTGCCACGTCAAGGGGCGGGAGGGGTGGGCGGGAGGGGAAAAGGGAGGCGGGGACAGATCGGGGGCGGGGCCACCAGACGTCAAGGGGCGGGAGGGGCGGGAGGGGCAAGAAAGTGGGGACAGCACTCAGGGCGGGGCCACCAGATGTCAAAGGCGGGAGGGGAGGGAGGAGCAAGGAGGAGGGGACAGACCGGGGGCAGGGCTACCAGACGTCAAGGGGCCGGAGGGGCGGGAGGGGCAAGGAGGCGGGGACAACCCCGGAGGCGGGGCCATTCGACGTCGGGTGCGGGAGGGGCGAGGCGAGAGGGAAGGGACGGGGACATCTCTGGGGGCGGGGCGATCAGGTTCGAGGCTAGACCGCAAGGCTGCGAAACCTGGGTGGAGCCAAGCGCTCGGAGCGAGTCCCGGGAGGGAGGAGGGTAAAGGAAACGGGAGGATGGAATCCAGCCGAACAACCGAAGGAGGGAAATGAGGGAGGGGTGCCGACCTGAACAGAGCTGGAAAGTACCGCTGCTCCTGGGAGCGCCGGTGCCCTCTACCGAAGCCACCGACGATCACTCCCCGTGGGCTGCGGGCTTGGTAGAAACTTGAGTCACCGGTTCTCAGACACCTCAGCTCCCCCAGGAGGGATGGAAAAGTCCTCTAAACCATCCCTCTGGGATCCCGGTTGAATTCGAGAATCATGAATTTCATCTTCTCTGAAAAAATTACAAAGTGAGAAGTTCACTTTGTCACTGAAAAATAAGTATTTTAACGGAACATCAACTGTGTGCCCGACACAGTCCCAATGGTGGTGATATGACATAAGGAAAATATCAAAATCACCGATCTGGAAGAATTTACAAAACAATTGAATTACTCTCAGTCAATTTACAACTTTCCTCCTACCCTGCCTACAGTCCCCAACCACGCTCCCGCGCACTGCGATTTTTCATCTTGATGTTTTCTCCTGTCCAAAAAAAGAACTGAGTAAAATGAGAACAGTGGAAAAACTGATTGGCATGGCATTCAAGCTTGCAGATCTCAGAAACCCCATCATTCAGGAAAGGGTTTTCACGGAATTAATTACAGAGGTGAAAATACCTGCAAACTTTAGCCCTGCAGGCATTTCTGTAGAATATGGAAAAGTACCAAACTCTAGTTCTTCAAGGCTATATTATCCCTATACTATTTTTATACTTCATCAAATATTTTTTTAATTCTTATTTGTATAATTTGTGAAATTGCTAAAACAAAAATTGGCATTGATCATAGGTGATAATGAAAATTTCTTTCTGGTTTACTAAAAGTAAAGTGGTTTAGAGACAAAAGAGATTAGATAAAATGTGGAAAATTTCTTGAGCTCTTGAGAAAGCAAAATCAACTAGAAATTGGAGAAGGGGAAAAAATTTCTAATTTTTTCGGTTGAATTTGACTTAGACTTCCTGAACTAAAATACTTAAGACCAACATATGAATCTAAAGGATGTCTGTTAAATATTTGCCAATAAATACAAGCAATTAATTGGCTTACTCTTTAGGTCCATGTTCTTCCTTGAACAGGAATCTTGCTTGTCTATTTCTTAACTAGTCTATATAAACTGTAAAGAAGCCTGTGATCTCTCTTAAACACATACTTCTCTCTTTCTCTCCCTTCACATCTTTCAAAATAAGTTTCAATGAAAACTATCTTGCCTCATCCCTACCTAAAAAAAAAGCAACTGTCTGCTTTCATTTATAGCAATGTGTGCAGGTTCAGATGCAAAATGATTATCCCTCAATATTGATGAATGATCATAAACATTAAACTATTGTAGTTATCATTTTATGTATTGAGATTGACTTAAAAATATATAATCTGGAGCCAGAGTCCATTGTATAGAGGTTAAGGTATATGTCTTGCACTGGGGCTGGAGAGATAGAATTGCATGCTGGAGGTCCAGATTTGATCCTGCCATCACATGACCTCTCAACATAGAGCCAGAAGTAGGACCCAACATTGCCTGGTGTAATCCCCAAACAAACAAAAATATACATACACACACACTTACGCATATATGACATAATCTGGGGCCACAGATAGATCAAAGGGCTGAAGCCCTGCATTACATATGGCAACTCTGCATTGCCTAAATGCCTAAGCACCATAGGAGGTTGCCTCTAGCAAAAATAGAGAAAGACTCAGAATTGCAGCTCAGAAGCAGAGTTTGTACCTTGCATATTTGAGGTCCTGGGTTCAATGTTGGCATAGTAACAACAAAATGGTAAGAACAGAAAGGGACAGTCTGTGGTCAAATAAAGTTGGGAAACAAATTATGTAATATAAGCCTCTTGACCTGTCAAGTATTTTACTAGGTTAATATTCATGATGAATGCATTTGAGAAATATGAGTAGGATTTAAAAATATTCCCTAGGGTTAGAGAGATAGCAGAGCAGCCAGGGTGCTTGCTTGGCACTCCATATGGTCCCCCAAAACCTTCCAGGAGTGGTATCTGAATGCTGAGCCAGGGGTAAACTCTGAGCACAGCCACATATAGTCCAATCTTTTTATTTTAATTAAATGAAATTTTCCCCAAATTCATTTGACCTTGGAACTTCCTTTTCAAGGAGTATGTGTAGTAAGATAAAGGTAAAGGCCCTCCCGTTGATCGTCGATTTGCTCGAGCGGGCCCAGTAACGTCTCCATTGGAGACTTTGTTGTTACTGTGTCTGGCATATCAAATACTCTCGGTAGCTTGCCGGGCTCTCCGAGAGGGGCGGAGGAATCGAACTTGGGTCGGCCATGTTGGCTGCTTGTAAGGTGAACGCCCTACCCGCTGTGCTATCGATGTGTAGTAAGTATTCTAAACAATCTATAAGTTTTTTTAAGCCATTAGTTATCTTAAACACTAGTTAATATGCACTAGTTAATATGCAGCCCGGTATTTTCCTTCCTCTTCTGAGCCAACATGTTTTTAAACTGGAGAGTCCAATAATACACCGGTGAAGAATGTTCACGTAAATTTTTTTTAGTTTCATATGATCACCACCAGATGGAGCATTTAACTCTACTTTTTTTGTTTTTTGCTAAATTCATTGCAGTTTTCTTTCTCTCAATCTCTCTAAATAGGATTCTCTTTTATTTGTTTATAATGGTGACATTATAAGAAGCTGGCCAACTATCTTTGAATACTAAACAAATATTAAATTTCTTCCTTTACTTTTCAGCATTAAATTCATACAGTACATATTTGCATACACTTGCATAAATATGTACATATGTCTGCTTTCCTAGATGGCACATATATTAATATAATATATTGTGGCCAGGTCAGGGAGATGGTACAGCAGATAGAGCGTTTGCCTTGCAAACAGCCCAACCCGAGCTCAATTCCCAGTATTCCTATGGTTCCCTCTGCACTGCCAGATACAGTAATTTCCGAGTGCAGAACCAGGAGTGACCCCCTAAGCATCCCAAGGAGTGGCCCAAACACCAATATAGTTACACTGGATATAATAATTAGGCTAACTTATAAATTACCAATTACAAAATTTCTAAAATTGAAGACTTTAGTGATAATTTAGTCCAATTCTTGCAAAGAATAAGTGAATGCGAAGAGAGGAGAGAGAGAGAGAGAAGAGACAAGAGACAGAGGATTCTTGTAAAGGATAAGTGCATGAGAGAGAGAGAGAGAGAGAGAGAGAGAGAGAGAGAGAGAGACCTGGAGGTACCTAAGCATCACTGACAGTTGCCTGGAGACCCCAAATTTTGCCAAGGTAGCCCTGGCGGTTCCAACTAGCAGAGAGCCAGAGCAAAACTACATCTTTGGTCTTTAGCAATGAGCCGTTGGGAACCGTTGGCCTGGTTGGCTGATTATCACCAGGAGTGGACCTCTAGGCTCTCTGAGCACTGCAAGAGAAGCAAAAATATACCATGTGCGGGGGAGGGGGGCGACTAAAAGCCAGTGGTGTGCAGGGATTAACTCTGAGTTCAGAGCTTTGGAGTAGCTACTGGCTGTGCCCGGGGAACCATACGTGACCACAGGACCTTCAGCCCACGGAGCTCCTCAAAAAGAACATTTAAGGGGGAGTGTGATAGTACAGCGGGTAGGGCGCCTGTCTTGAACGCGGGTGGACCCGAGCTTGATCCCTGGCACCCTTCATGGTCCCCAGAGCCCCGCCAGGACTGATGTGAGAGAAGGAGAGGCAGAGATAGAGAGAATTTAAGAACGCCTGGCTCTAGGGGGGCTAGAGAGCTAGTACAGCGGGTAGAGCTCTTGCCTTGCACGCGGCCGACCTGGCTTCGATCTCCGGCACCCCATACGTTCCCCCGAGCACCGCCAGGAGTAATTCCCGGGGACCCAGGAGTAGCAATTCTACTCCTGGATGAGCCAGCGGCAGGAATAGGAATCCCCAACTATCTCCGGGGGTGGCCTGAAAAAAAAAAAAAAGAAGAAGAAGAAGAAGAATGCCTATTAGAAGTGTGTAAAGCTATTAACCCCGGCTCTTTACCCTAGACGTAGAAGCGAGCAGAGAAGGTAACACGCAGAAAAACCTGCCGAACACCTTTTTTTTTTTTTTTGCAAGGAACTAAACTCAAAGCCTTCGCTCCGGCACCGGAGTTTTGACTCTGCAACCAAACAGCGGGTTTGCGCGTGCGCGATGCTACGAGCCTCGAGCCCGGGTCCTGCGGATTAGCCAAAGATGTTAATTTGTGCGCCTGCGCTGTGACCTGAGTTTGGAGCATGCGCCGAGTGGGACTGGCGAGCCAGAAGACCATGGCGTGGGCTCCTGCAGGCTCTGCCGTGGAGGAGTTGATGCCCAGGCTCTTGCCTGTGGAACCGTGTGACCTGACGGAAGGTTTCGATCCTTCGGTCCCTCCGAGGACGCCCCAGGAATACTTGAGGCGGGTCCAGTGAGTGATTTGGCCCTGTGAGGATGGGCTCTGGTCCCTGAACACAGGGTCTTTCCGGTGCCCCGCTTGGCTCCTGTGCTTCTTAAAGCCCAGCCTTTGTTCCCCACTCCTGTCTCTTGCCATTCGGGTGGGATGCCCCGATTTACAACTTGACCTGGAAGGTGTGCAATTCTGTAAACGTATTTCTACTGAACCTGATCCTCCGTGTCAGGATCTGTGTTACTAGGTTGCTTTCAAACCGATAGTTTCAGAAATGCCAAATGGTTTTTATTACCTTTGCAATTCTGAAGTTTTATAAAATTATTGTTTCAGAGTGAACCGTAGGAAGGGATCGTTTACCTGAACCCAAACACAATAGTAATTGCCTTTTTTCTTTTTTAATATAGGATCGAAGCAGCTCAATGTCCAGATGTTGTTGTTGCTCAAATAGACCCAAAGAAGTTGAAAAGGAAGCAAAGTGTGAATGTTTCCGTGAGTTTTATTACCCGTCAGGGATTTTTTTTTCCTCCATCACAAACTGAAGGACCTGGGTTCTTCCAATAGTATTTGACAGTATCAGTTAGAATGTAGATAAGTTAGGCATTATTTTAGTCCCTTTCCTCCATGAAGGAAGTTGGCATTTACTACCCCCAGAAAGGTTTTCTAGTTAGGGTAGACTTCTTAAAGATTTGCGACTTGATCCTCAGTTCTGATAGTGTAAACTGGCCCTTTACCTACTTGGTTTTTTTTATTACTATCTTTATAATATTTATTAGATTGGTGTTGAGTGTAGTTTGATTGTTCAGAAATTCACAATAGTTTATTTTTAATAGAAAACCCAAATAGCATGCATTTTCTAGCTACTTTTTTTTAAGATTTTTTTTTCCTTTTTTGGGACACCCTGACAATGCTCAGGGGTTACTCCTGGCTCTACACTCAGGAATCAATCACGGCTGTGCTTAAGGAACTATATGGGATGTGGGGGATTGAACCCAGGTCAGCTGCATGCAAGGCAAACACCTACCCGCTATAAAATCGATCAGGCCCTTCTAGCTACTTTTTATTACTTTGTGAACATTTTACCTTGTGAACATCTTTATTTGCCCAGGTTCAATTCTCAGCGTCTTAAATGGGTCACCTGAGCACCTGCAGAAGTAATGCTGAGCGCAGAGCCAGGAGTAACCCCTGAACATTGCTGGGTGTGACCCAAAAGATAAATAATTGAAAATTATAATAAGTCATTTTAGTTTTTTCTAAGTAATTCTTTTGATGTTAACCCAGACACTTAACGGTTCATATCACTGTATCACTGTCATCCCGTTACTCACTGAGCACCAGTAACGTCTGCATTCGTCCTAGCCCTGAGATTTTAGCACCCTCTCTCTACTCTCTACGGTGCTGCATTGGAGGCTCTTTCCAGGTCAGAGGAATGAGGCACATCATTGTTAACTGTTTTTGGCATATCAAATATGCTATGAGAGCTTGTCAGGCTCTGCTGTGTGTGCAGGATACTCTCGGTAACTTGTCGAGTTCTCCGAGAAAGAGAACTAGACTATAACGCAGCTGGCCGCTTCAGGGAACTTTGTTTTATAGTCTCTGGATCTTGGCAGTTGATGGGATTACATGGCGCCGGGGGCAGTATGTGGTTGTGACTGCCAAACTACTGGAAAATGGGGATCTGGATGGAGGAGGCCCAGTCCTGATCTGAGGAGGCTTGAAGACCGCAGCCCCGGGACCCACACGCCTGGGTTTCTCTGCCGGTTCCTTCATGTTTGAGGCTCGTCCGAGCGTGTGGAGAGTGGTCTTAAGCATGGCTGTGGCTTATTCTGGAGGTCTTCAGCTGCCTGGGCTCTGCTCGAGGCGGGGAGGGAAACTCAACCTGCCCCCCTCTGAAGGGCCCCGGTGAAGACAACCTGGCACATGGCCAGGAGACTTTGTTCATATAATATAAAGGTTCACATAATTACATGCAATTATTTTTCAGAAGCTCTCACTTAATGGAAAATGTTTTACAAACCTAAGTAGGGTTTTTGGTTTGCTTTTTTGTTTTAGATTGGGGGGAGAGGGGAGCCCATCTGTGACTTAGGGCTTACACCTGGGGCTTACTCCTGACTCTGTTCTCAGAGATTACTTCTGGTATGAACCAAGTGACCAGGTAGAGTCAAGGATCTAACCCACGTCTGCCATATGCAAGGCAAACACTCTACTAACTGTACTCTTCAGCCCCATTTGGATTTTGGGTTTTGGTTTTGGGGTTGTTTCCTTTTTTTTGGAGAGGGGTGTTGCTGTTTGGAATTTACTTCTGACAGTTCTCAGGGAACCATATTTGGTGCAAGGGATAGATCCAAGCCTTTATTCTGCATGCAAAACATGCACTCTCACCTCCTGAGTTCTCTCCAGCACTATACCTAACTTGTAAAAGGTGACCAGAGGGCAGGATCCATCTGGGATGCCTCGGATGCTTCTTGCAAGCATCCGAGGCATCCCAGATGGTCCCATGAGCACCCTAGGAGTGATCCCTGAGCTCTGCCCTGTGTGACCCCCAAAATAAAAATAAAAAGTGATCACATTAAATTTTATTCCTTGGCAACATGATCAATAGTGAAATATGTGCTATTAGGAATCACTAGTAGGCCTTTTTGTTTGATTTTTTGCTTTTTGGGCCACACACCCATCGATGCACAGGGGTCACTTCTGGCTCTGCACTCAGGAATTACCCCTGGAGGTGCTCAGGGGACCATATGGGATGCTGGGAATCGAACCCGGGTCGGCCATGTGCTAGGCAAATACCCTACCTGCTGTGCTATCGCTCCAGCCCCACTAGTAGGCGTTTTTAAAATGAAGGGTCTTGATTATATTTTGTCATACCAAAATTATTGTAATTAAGTACCTTTTCAAACTTTTTGGTTTTCTGGAGATATAGGACTAGATCATATGTTCAGGGTTCATGTCATTTTGAATTTCCAAGAAGCTTCACAACTATGAATAATATTTTTTGCAGGGGAAGTTGGGTAGTGGTCACATCCGGTGATGCTTAGGGGTTACGCCTAGATCTGCACTCGAGAATTACTCCTTGCAGTGCTCAAGGGACCATACAGGATGCTGGGAATCAAACCTGGGTCGGCCGCATGCAAGACAAATGCCCTACCCACTCTATCACTTCAGCCCCATGAATAATTCTAGATTTTATTTACTAAATTGACTATGTAAGAATCTTTCCCTAGTGTTTTACTTATTGATTTTATTTATTACCATTTTTATTGAGGAGCTTGGATTTGCAATCCTGTTAATTATACTCTATGAATATATATATATATATATCATTCTAATACCATACCCTCACCAGAGAGCCCATTTCCATCCACCAGTACCCAAGCGTCCCTTTCTACCCATCTCTCCTACATAACTAAGTTGTGTAGAAAAAATCTCCAGTTCTGAAGCTTTGGCCATTTTTTGTTCCCTTACTTATGTTCCAGGCTTGGAGCAATAGCACAGCAGTAGGGTATTTGCCTTGCATGCGTCTGGCCAGGCCGACCCGCGTTCGAATCCTCCTCTCGTCTCGTAGAACCTGGCAAGCTACTGAGAGTATCTAGCCCACACGGCAAAGCCTCGCAAGCTACCCGTGATGTATGGTATGCCAAAACACAGTAACAATAAGTCTCACAATGGAGATGTTACTGGGCCCGCTCAAGCAAATCGATGAACAACGGGAGGACAGTGACAGTGACTTATGTTCGCTTCCTTATATCCCACACATGAGAGAGCTCTTTTTAATATGTATGAAATTGGTGGAGACACCTATACATGTACTTTGGTATATACATATATATCTATACATAGATTATTAAAGTTAAATTCTGAAATTCTAAAAAATTATATATTAGTGATAAGTTGATTTTAATTTTTTTTCAAAAACTATTATCTTTCTCTTTTTGTGGATATGTAACTTTTGTTTGTTTTAGTTTTGGGGTCCACTCAGCAGTGCTCAGGCTTACTGTGGGCTTTGCACTCAGGGATCATTTCTAATGGTACTTGAAGGACCATATGGTATTCCAGAGATCAAGCACAGGTCCTCAGCATGCAAGGCAAACACCTTACTCACTGTATTATGGCTCCAGGACTATAGATGTATAAACTTTAATAAGTAGCACTGTAGCACTGTCCTCCCGTTGTTCATCGATTTGCTCTCAAAATTTAAAAAGTAATAATATAAATAATTCTATGCCAGCACTTTTTTTGTTTGTTTTGTTTGTTTCTTTTCAGGCCACACCCAGTGATGCTCAGGGCTTACTCCTGGCTCTGCACTTAGATCACTCCTAGAAGTGCTGAGGGACCATATGGGGTCCCAGGAAACAAACCCTGAGCCAGCTGCATAGAAAGCAAACACCCTACCCACTATACTATTACTCCGGCCCCACCTACATAAATATATGTATAATACATATACACATTTATATATAGATATATATAGATATAGATATATATATATATAGTTTTTCCCCACAGCCTGGCAAGCCACCCGTGATGTATTCGATATGCCAAACACAGTAGCAACAAAATCTCCAATGGAGACGTTACTGGGCCCGCTCGAGCAAATCGATGAACAACAGGAGGGCCTTTACTTACTTACTTTATAAAGTTGTTCATAATGCATGTTACAGGCATTCAGTATCCCAACCTCAATCCAACCACCACTGTGACCTTACCCCCACCATTGTCCCATTTTCCCAGCCACCCCTCAAGTCTGCCCTTGTAGCAGGACCAAAATAATTTATTTTATATTGATTGTTATTACTAAATGGCTAATGGGATTATCAAAAAATAATTTACTGAAAGAAAATTTGTGAAAATTATTATAGCTTAATGGGGACATTTGGTCCTTGACTGAGGGTTTACTGAGCTGTTGTTGCTAGTTGAGCCTCTGTATTAAAGGTTTTGTTAAAGAGCTTAGTTGGCTTCAACGTTACGTTCCCATCTAATCTGGGATGTTAATACTGTAGAGTTTGGAGATACTATGCAGCCATAAATACAGTTATGTGCTCCAGAAAACTGAGAATATTCATCTAGGCATTGAGCTTGTATGACACCTGAAATATGTTAACATGAAATATATAACTACTCCAAATATATGGTTTAGGAATTTTTTTTCTTTTCTTTTCTTTTTTGTGGTGGTGGTTTTTGGGTCACACAGCAGTGCTCAGGGCTTCTTCCAGCTCTGCACTTGGTGATCACTCCTAGCTGGGTTTAGAGGCCCATCTGGGGTACTGAGGATTGAACCCTAGTTTTTCATATTCAAGGCAAGAGCCCTACCCCCTGTACAATCTCTCCAGCCCATCCCTTCCTAATGTTTTAAACTCAGACATACATAGAGAAATGAAATGTCTACTTTTCTGCATTGCAAAATAAAACATTTTTCTTAATGTAGTTTTTATTAATGTAGGTTATATTTTAATTTATATAAGCACAGGTATTTGTTTATAACAATAACATTGATTCTAACTTCTGTGAACTGATCTGCAGCTTTCAGGATGCCAGCCTGCGCCTGAAGGATATTCCCCTACACTTCAGTGGCAGCAGCAACAAGTGGCACACTTTTCAGCTGTTCGACAGGTAATTTGTACCATAATCATTTAACTAAATTAAATTGCTCGTTCCCAAACTTATTTATTGAAGGGATTTATTTATGTTTTGTATTTTTGTTTCTTTGTTTCTTTCTTTGTTTTTGGCTTTTTGGGTCACACGCAGTGATGCACAGGAGTTACTCCTGGCTTTGCACTCAGGAATTACTCCTGGCAGTGCTCAGGGGACCATCTGCAATGCTGGGGATCGAACCTGGGTCAGCCACATGCATGGCAAACACCCTCCCCACTGTGCTATTGCTCCAGCCCTGGATTTATTTATGTTTGAGAATATAGTTGGAAAAATAAGATCTGTGACTGGGGACAATAAGGAACAATTCCAAAAGGAAAAAAGCATTTGAGGGCCTGGAGAAATAGTAGAGCAGATAGGACACTTAGCTTGCATACAGCTCACCTGGGTTTAATATCTGACACTCCATATGTCCCCCTCTAACTCCCCAGTAGTCATTTCTGAGCATAGAGCCAAGTTCAAGACCTGAGCCCTGCCACGTGTGGCCCAAAAACCAGAAAAAAATGAAAACTAACTTGGGGTTGACTGTGTTTGTGTTATATCCAGCCCTTCTCAGAGGTTGCTCCTGGCAGTGCTTGGGAACCATGTTCTGGTATCCAGGCAAGTTTCTTAATTTATGCACTACCTCTCCATCCCAAAATCAAAATTTTCAGGGTTGAAGTGATAGTACAGTGGGTAAGGAACTTGTATTGCTTGTAGCCAACCCTTGTTTGATCCCCGACTACCACATATGGTCCCAGGCTCACCAGGATTGATCTCAGAGCACAGACCCTGGAATAAGTCCTGAGCACCACCAGGTATGGCCTAAAAACAAAAGGGGAAAAAAAGTTTGAAAGTAAAGATAAAAGCAAAAAAAGAAAAACAAGAAGATGAATTTATTAGTTTTAATTATTAGACATAATACATTTTTTCAACATGTTTAAGTTTTAGTATTGTTACACTGTGTACATTACACCTGTGTAGTGATTTGTTTTTTTCTTGCTCATTTGCTGAAGATCGCTTATTTCCTTTTTTAGAGTGTGAACAGACATAGAAGTCACTGGAAATCACAACAATTGGATAGTAACGTGACCATGGTATGTAAGTTTCTCTTTTTAAATTACATAGTGTGAATATAAATAAATAAAAATAAATACATAGTGTATACTTATTGAATGAGTTCATATTTGCTTCAAGTCTTTAAGACTCACTTAGTCTATATTACTTTTATTCTTTCCATCTGCCATTGATTGTAGTAGTTCCATTGTATTAGCTTGAAAGTTTTGTAATGCAAGTTGTTTTCATCACAGTTTTATTTGGGAGGGAGGGTTGAGCCCGACTGATTAGAACTTACTGCTAGCTCTGTGCTCAGGGATCATTTCTGGAGGTGCTGGAGCACCACATTTGCCAGGAATTGATCTGGGTTGTCCAATTTTAATCTATATCATCTTGAGAAACCTTGGATAGGTAATTCTCAGACCTCCCAAGTTTTCTGGTCTTTTAGCTTCACCTATGCTCAGGTCTTACTCCTGGCTGTACTCAGGGTATACCCCTAACTTTGCGCTCAAGTGTCACTCCTGGTGGGGCTAGGGGAAAACCATTTGTGGTGCTGGGGATCAAACCTGGATCAGCCTGTATGCAATGAAAGTGCCATAGCTGCTGTACTATTCTCTGGTCCCCTCCCATGTTGTTAAGGGTTTGTTTAGACATTTGCTTATTTGAGAGATGAAGACTTTTTTTTTTTTTTTTTTTTTTTGCTTTTTTGGGTCACACCTGGTGATGCACAGGGGTTACTCCTGGCTCTGCACTCAGGAATCATGCCTGGTGGTGTTCAGGGGACCATATGGGATGCTGGGAATCGAACCCGGGTCGGCTGCATGCAAGGCAAACGCCCTACCTGCTGTGCTATCATTCCAGCTCAAGAGAGATAAAGACCTTTTTTTTTTTTTTTGCTGGGTAGGGGGTGATGAGGGTGGGGGATGAGGGGAGGGACACCCAACAGTATTCAGAACTCGCTCTTAGCTCTGTGCTCAGGGATCACTCCTGGAGAACTTGGGGGACCACCTTGTATGCTAAGGATCAAACCTGGGTCGGCTGCATGCAAGGCAAGCGCCCTACCCACTGTACTATCATTTTGACCCAGAGATAAAGATATTTTTTAGCTTTTTGTAAAAAAAACACTTGAATAAAGAGTTTGTAGAGAGGGATTGTTTTGGTTTTTGTGCCACACAGTTTTGTGTTCAGAGACTATTTCTAGCTCAGATCTTGGGGCTTAATCCTGGCAGTGCTCAGGAGACCATGAAATGCTGAGAATAAAACCCAGGGCTGAAAAGCATGTGCTCCAGCCCTATAAGTTATCTCACTAGCCTCAAAATTGAATATTTATTGACTTTTCCTGAGGAGATAATAGTGACAATACAGTGATATTCCTAAGGAGACTGTCATGAGAAAATAGTATTTCTTAGTTTTATCGGCTTAGTTATAAAGATAATTTGGGGGGCAGGGAGGGGGAAATTGAACTCTGTTTTTATGCAAATGAAGCAAGTGTTTTGCTGCTGGGTCACACTCCCAACTATGGGGGCTATCATTTTCAGTTTTTCATATCTGAACTACTGAATAAGATGAAAAGTTGGGAAAATATGGGTACTTTGCTGCAAGTGATGGTTTGGTTTTGTTTGTATTTGGGCTGTAGGCAAAAATCACAGGTCTCTGCAGTAGGGGATCACTCCTCATTGTGGGTGGGAATCAGTAGTCCCAGAGACAGAATCCAGACCACTCCCAGAAGTGCATGCACTCAGCCATTGAGTTCTCTGGCCCGCAGAGCATATTTTTAACTTTTTTGTGATGGGGGATGCAGAAGGACATACTAAAAGTGTTCAGGAATCACACCTGACTCTGCTCAGGGCTCAGGAGACCATATGTGGTAGTAGGAATTTGAATCAGGGTTGGGCTACATGCAAGGCAGATTCAAGGCAGGTCCCTTAACTCCTGTACTACATCTCCTACCTCAAATTCTGCATCTTTATTAAAAATATACATAGAAATAAATAAAATCCTCTTTTTTCCCCTCCTTTTAGCCCAAATCTGAAGATGAAGAAGGCTGGAAAAAATTTTGTCTAGGAGAAAGGTTATTTGTTAAAGGGGCTGTTGGACCAGTTACAAATGAAAGTCCTGGAATCGATTATGTACAAGTAGGTGATATATGTAGAAACAAAATAACAAGCGTTCTGATTTTGGTTCATCAACTAGTAAAAAGATCAGCAAACTGTGGCATAGGTGAAATCTAGTCTGCAGTCTGTTTTTATGCAGCCCCTAAGCTAAGAATGATCTTTGTGTTTTTTTAAAAGGCTTAAAAGCAAACATTATTTGAATGTCAGAGACAGTGTTTGGCCTACAAAGTCTAAAATTATTTTCTAGGTAATCTAAGTTATTTACCAAATAGTTTACCTCTTTACCAGAAATTTTTGCCAACTCGTTTGTTTATTATCTCTGACTTTAAAAAAAATGGTCAGCCATTGTCAGGGATATGGCTCAGGGTAGGACAAATGCCTGTCTCATTTCAACCTTCAACACCTTAAAAACTTAAAAATAGGGTCTGGAGAGATAATATAGCAAGTAAAGTGCTTGCCTTGTGCAGAACAAACCCAGGTTTGATCCCCAGAGTCCCATATGGTTCCCCAAGTCTACAGACCCTGAGTACAGATGGATATTAACCCCAAACAAACAAAAATAATGAAAAATATTTTGTTTTTATTTGGGAGCCTTTCCCAGTAGAGCTTGGGGTTACTTCCGGCTCTGTACTTGGGATACTATGAAGTGCTGGAGATTCGACCCCAGGGCTCAACCTGTTGAGCTCTTTCTGACACCTGAAAAGGGGTTGGTTGGAGTTTTTGTTTGTTTTTTTGTTTGTTTTGTTTCTTTGTTCTTAGAGTACACCTGATGGCTTGTTCCAGGCTCTGCGCCCAGGGAACACTCCCACAGGACTTGGGCATTCATGACGTCGGGGGAGTAGAACTGGGGTCTGCTACATGCAAGCAAGAGCTTTAGTCCTGTGCTAGTATAATCCCTGAAAAGGTTTTTCACTTGAAAGGGTTTATATATTTTGGTTTGGAGATCACAGTATTCAAGCATTATACTGGCTCTGTGCCCTGGGAACATTCTCGGACCTGTTGGGCTTGAGGGACCACAAGGGATGCCAGGGATCAAACCCAGCCACATGTAAGGCAAGTACCCTATCACTCTGGCCCCGTACATGGAAGTCTTAAAAAAAAATGACAACTCTTCTAAAGTAGTATATAACTTTATGATTTAATGATAAAACATAGGTCAAATATTGAGTAATGAGTCATCAGGGACACAGGAAAACTTGACACAGAGAAATGCTGGTTAATTGCAAAGTCTGTAAATTATAGGGACAGATTTAAATTTCATATAGTTTTAGGGACTGGAGAAATAGTACAGTTAGTACAGTGGGTAGAGTGCTTGCCTTGTTCACAGCTTATCTGAATTCGATCCCCAGCATCCCATATGGTTGCATGAGCACCATTAGGAGTGATTCCTCAGTTAACCCCCGAGTATCACTGAGTATGGCTCCAAAACAGAAAAATAATTTTCATATAGTTTTATTGTAAACATAAATTATGTAGACAGTTCCTTCTTGTCCTGCAGAGTTTACTTGTCCTAATGTTTAGGGATACTCATCACCTACCTGAACTCTATGCCTGGCACTCCATATGGTTCCCAGAGCCCTGCCAGGAGTGACTCCTGAACATAGAGCCAGGAGTAAGCCCTAAGCGTCACCAGCTGTGACCCAAAAAGAGCAAAACAAAAAGTTTGGAGATAATTTTAGGGAGCCTGTTACAAACAGCAGCATTACTACTAGTTACTTATATGATAGTATCTGTTATGAATAGATGATTAGTGGTACCGCATTGTGTTCTCTCTATTTAAAACTTACTGTACTCCAAATCTAAAAGCTCCATATATCACTAGGTAGACCAAGAACAGACTGAAACATTGACTCAGGATATAGACATCTACAACTTACAGAAAGGAAATACAATCATTTTCAATAGATACCCAAATTCATTCATAACATACGTGACATAACTGAACTGAGCAGCTATTTTTTCAACTAGCATACCTGGCAACAGTAAAAGTTTGATATATTGTGTTGGCAAGTGCTGGGAAAACAGACATTGTTAAACACAGGTCTGAGAGTAAATGGCTTTGAATATCTAGCAGAGACAATTCACTGTTTCTTATACAACCTGTTGTTTGGGAGGACTTTTTTGGATAATATTCCTAATGTGTGTTACACATCAAAAATGTATTTTAACAAAAAATGTTTTTTTAGCTTTTATATTACAAAATGTATGCTTGTAAAATATTGCTAAAGAACCATTTAAGAGTTTAATGCATAGGTGTTAAGTTTCTCACAGGTGAGGACTGCTCTGTTAATCAAAGCTCCTAGCATTCAGTGTCAGTGTAATTGGGAGGGAATATTTTTGTTTTGTTTTATTTTGTTTTGGAGCCATTCCTGGCAGTGCTCAGGGGACCATATGGGATGCTGGGGATTGAACCTGGGCCAGCCGCATGCAGGGCAAGCGCCTTAACCACTGTACTATTGCTCTGGGCCCCAGTTAGATTTTTTTTTTATTTAAGGGGGTGAGGATCAGGGAGCATTGTTAGGGAGTAGAGTGGCCACTCCCAGTGATACTCATGTGCTTGGGCTAGCTATGCAGCACTGGGGACCACCAGGGCCATATCCAGTGTTGCTGGGGCAGGGAAAGATTCTCAACCACCCCTTTCTAGTGCAGTGCAAACTCAGAGCCTCGCCAATGAGCATGTACTCCTTCCCTTTGGGTCATCTCCCCAGCCCTCCAAAGTAGATTTCAAAATGAATTTGAGTAGGATTAACAAAATGAAATAGGGGGAAATTCTGAATTGGGTTCAGATGTTATCTTTAACTGAATATTTTTAAAGACATGAACCACTTTCTGCTGTCATAGTATCAGTATCATTTTTTTAAATTGATAACTTTGAGTGGACGTTTTTGGGGACCACACCCAACAGTGCTCTGTGCTCCTGCTGGTGCTTGGGACCCTTTAGTGCCAGGAATAGAATTAAGAGTTGACCACATGCAAGGCAAGTAACTCAATTCCTACACTATCTCTCCAACCCTAAATATCATATTTTCTATAACTGAAATTATTTATTTTTAAATAGACACATTTAGAATCAAAGACATTTTTTCCTTGGATGTTACCTCAATAATAATTCATAGGGAATAATTCAAAGGGAATGCCCTGCCACAGAGGCAGGGTGGGATGGGGGAGGATGGGGGGTTGGAGGGATACTGGGACCCGTGGTGATAGAAAATGGACACAGGTGGAGGGATCAGTACTTGATCATTGTATAACTGAAACCCAAGTACAAAAATTTGTAAGCCTATAACTGTACCTCATGGTGTTTCACTAATAAAATAATAATTCATAGGATGTTTCATTCTAATGAGAATTAATTCATTTTCTTTTATCCATTCGTAGTTTATCTGGTGGGAAATTCACTAATAAGAAAAAATGTACTCCCCTACCCCTTGTAAAATCATTTAATAAACTTCATTCTAATTTTTTTTTTCCCTCAGATTGGTTTTCCTCCCCTGCTTAGTATCGTTAGCAGAATGAATCAGGTAAAATCCATCTTATGTAAGAATATATGCATCTTTTCTTTGTAATGTATGTGAAAATATTTGAATACTTATAGTATGCAGGACTCTATAAGTCTTTAATATTCTTATTTAATCTTGACTGGGCTGGAGTGATAGCACAGCGGGTAGGGCGTTCGCCTTACAAGCGGCCAACATGGCCGACCCGAGTTCTATTCCTCCGCCCCTCTCGGAGAGCCCGGCAAGCTACCGAGAGTATTCGATATGCCAGACACAGTAACAACAAAGTCTCCAATGGAGACGTTACTGGGCCCGCTCGAGCAAATCGACGATCAGCGGGAGGGCCTTTACCTTTACCTTAATCTTGACTAATACCAAATGTAGGGAGTTTTTAATAGATGAGGAAGAAATTGGAGTTTAATTAATTTCCAGGGCCTTTTTCATTGTTTTAATGGTAGTGCTGGGATTCAATCCTAGGGTGATTTAATTCCAAAACTCATCAGTTTTAAGTCTTAGATTCTGGGACTTGAAGTAAACACTGAGGTTAGAGTGCTCTGTTTCCAGATGTTCCTACATATTCTGTAAGAATGAAGTACATACTTTTACTGGATCAAAAGGGAAAAGGTATTAACTGGTTCTTTTTCAGGAATAGGGACCCTGTGATATACTTCAAGAATAAATAAAATTTTTTGATTATTTTATCTATACATTATATCAGATATTCTTTGTAAATAAAAATTTTACTGATATTGTAAACCACCCCTCTCGCAGAGCCCGGCAAGCTACCGAGAGTATCTTGCCCATACGGCAAAGCCTGGCAAGCTATCTGTGATGTATTTCATATACCAAATACACTAACAAGTCTCACAATGAAGACTTTACTGGGCCCGCTTGAGCAAAATCGATGAACAACGGGGGGACAGTGACCAGTGATTGTAAACCTTACACTGATAAACAGTTTCACTTACCTGGTCATTTGCAGTAAGATACTGTAGCATTCATTTTAAATTCAGTGATTTTTATAAGTATCCAATTGTATTTGAATAAGCCAGGTAATATTTTGAAGTTTGCTATACACAGGTATCTCTCTAGCAAGTTTTCGCTTTAGATTTGTGCTTTGATTTAATTAAAATAACTTGATGATATTTATGCAAAGACTTTTGTATAGAGGAAATAGAATTTTAAAGTAGTCATAAACTAAATTAGTAGATACAAATAAAACTCTTAAGTTTTAACCCAGGATATTAATACTTAAATGTTTATAAGATTAGTCTAAAAGACCACTTCTCACTGAATCACTAATCAGATTACTAGAATCAATTTTCTCTGGAAATCTAAATATTTTATATATCAGCAATGGTTTCTAATTAAACTTACTAAAAGTCAATGTTGAGCTTTTTATTATTTCTTATGTAATTCTTATAACTATTTCTCCTCCTCCCCCACTTTGTGTTTTTTAGGCAACAGTAACTAGCGTCTTGGAATATCTGAGTAATTGGTTTGGAGAAAAAGATTTTACTCCAGAATTGGTAGTATTGCATTTTAAATTTTTCATTACATAGTTACATATGCTCATATTTGAACAATTATAGTATTTTTATAGATATGCTCCATGTTTATAAATTTAATTCAAATTATACTATTTGTAGTGAAAAAAAGCTTTAATTAGTTTATGAATCATTGTATTTCTTCCTTCATTAAGAAGTCTTGCTCTCGAAGAAAAATGGTTCAGTCATAGAGCTGATATTTTTCCTGAGATAAACTTATCTAATTGTAACAAATAAGTTTGGCATCCTGTTTTGCAGGTCTGTTTTTTGAGCAGCCCTGACACAAAAGGAGTTTGAGGTGTACTTTCTAAAATGGCCTCGGGGGCTACAAAGATAGTACACTGGGTAGGGTGCTTGCCTTATATGTTGCTGACCAAGGTTCAGTTCTCAGAACTACATATGGTCTTGTAACTAGCCAGAAGTTAAGTCCTGCACACAGCCAGGTCTGACTGAAAACTGAAAATAAATATAATGGCCTTGAAATCTAATCCACAGGGGCCAGAGAGAGTACAGAAATTAAGGCACGAAGTTGACCCAGTTTTGAATCTCTGGCATCACATACTGTCTCCTGAGCACAGAACCAGAAAGAGCCCATGAGTGCCAGATGGTATGGGCTGAACCCCACCTGACACCAAAAAAAGAAAAAAATTCCAGTCCATAAAAGAATATCAGAATCTGCAACAATGGCAAGTCTGTGAGCCAAGTCTTAGTATAAGGATTTTGTATACTATGACAAGTCCATAAACCCTCCAGTAACCTAAGAACTATTATTTCCATCTTACAGATAAAGTAGCATAGATAAGAATTCAGATGTGCTCTTAAGATCACACATCATAATTGAAAGATATGAAACTCTTGCTTGTACAATACAGCTTTACTGTGAACATACATGCTACACCTGTTTTATTGTTTTATATTCTTCTAGATTGCTTTCTAGAAATCAACAAGTTTTTAATGCCAACAGTTTAATTTTTTTCCCCTGAAGCCCTTTTTTTTTTTGTTATTTTTTATTTGGTTGGTTTTGTTCTGGGGGCTACACCCAGCGATGCTCAGGGGTTACTCCTGGCTCTGCACTCAGGAATCACTCCTGGCAGACTAGGGGGACCATTTTGGATGCCAGTGATCAAACTCAGGTCAGCTGCTGCAACCCTCCTTTAAACTGAACCATATGAAAACGGCAGTTGTCATTTTCATGTGGTTTGACCTAACATTTTATAAATTGTTTTTCAAATTTGGTAAATTTATAATAGAACTTCAAAATAAATATAATAATATAATTACATATCTTTCAGTATCAGTGAGAATTTTTTCTCTAAATATTTTCTCAATCAATAATTTCCACACATTCATTGGTATATTAGCCCAACGATTTTGTTAGAACTTTTTTCATGTTCTTTTTGTTCGTTTTGGACCACACCCAGTGATGCTCAGGAGTCACTTCTGGCTCTGTGCTTACTCCTGGTAGTGCTCAGGGAACCATATGGGATAGCAGGGATCGAACCCGATCAGCTGCCTTGCAAGACAGGCGCCTTATCCACTGTACTATCTCTCTGACCCCATAACTTTGTTCATGTTCTTGGACTACTAGTTCACTAGCATCTAGGTATTGCAATTTGGTTTTTGTCCATTCTTTCTGATAGTAAGCTTTTTATCAGTGTTACTGTCTGACTTCTTCTTTCTTTTTTTTTAAATTTTGTTTTAAGATTTGGTGGATTCTGATTTTATTTGAAAAAATATTTACAAAGTGATCCTTAGGAGACCCCAGGACTCCCCCCAGACATTGCAGTTCAATGCCAGACCTCTAAGATACCCTGCCAAGCACCCTGCAGTACCAGAGAATTTTCCCAGCACCCCCGGAAGTGCTTGGAGATTTCCAGGGTCACATCTCTGTACTCTAGGGCAGTATCTGATGCTTGTGGACCATGTGCTAGGGATTGAATTGAGTCAACCACATGCAAGGCATGTGTTAATGCCTGTAGTGCCCTGGGTTTTTTGTTTTGTTTTACTCTTTTTACTTTCTTGTTTTTGTTTTGGCACCAGACCTGGAAATACTCAGGGGCTATTCCTAGCTCTGTGTTCAGTGGTCTGTCTTGGCTGTGCTCAGGGGACCATATATGGTGCCAAAGATCAAACCAGGGTAAGCCATATATATGCAAGACAATTGTCTTAACTCTTGTACCATCGCTCTAGACTTTGGATTAATTTTAATGGCCCACAACTGGAAGTGTTAGCAGTTTTGCAGTACCAGGGATCAAACTAGGTTTTGTACATGCAAGATACTAAGCTATCTTCCTGGGCCAGTATTTCTGGTATTTCTTTCTTAATTCCAAAAATACTGTCACTGAGGAAAAGGATCGGTTTAGTTTCTCCTATTAAGTGAAAGCAAATACCAGAAAGAATAACTATATTTGCCAGAGAGACCACTAAAAAATATCTAAGCCACTAACAACTGATTTACTGAACTTTGACCTAATTAATCTCGAGTCTTTGTCTAAGTAATCTTAATCTCAAATCGGTAATGTTCTATTGCTCTATCCAAGAAACATCTGAACTCTAGTATTGATAATATTAGTGATTAAAGTTAACGGGTTAACTGATAGGTTAATTATATTAAAAGCTTATAAACTTCACAGAAAAAATATGGAAATGAAAGCATTCCATATAAAAGTCATCACATAAGTTTTTATAATTATACTCTTGAAGAGAATTGATATTTCCTAAAAATAAACTTTGTTTTGTCTTTTAAATATAGCTTGATGAGTTGAGGCAGTGGGGTAGCTAATAGCTTAAGCTCTTGCAATAATAGATTTCTTGTGTTCAGATAATTTTTTCACTGCTTCAAGGATGGTTAGCAGCTTATTTACATATGTTTCAGCTTTCCTTACTCTAAATGTGAGTAGTAACAGTAACTAGCTCAGAGGTGGCCAACCATCTCCCCCCGCAAAAATCCATTTAATAGTAGTCATATATTTGTTCTTTAGGTGGAAATTTAAGAAAAGGGGGCATGTTGTTACTATTAATTCTCTAGCATTTAATGTGAATATGAAATTAATGTCACCTATTAGAACTCCAAACTAGTGAGGTAAGTGATAAAGGTCACACATAATTACAAATGTGTTTATTAATAGCTTAGGTTTAAAGATGTGTGACCCTTTTCCTCTATCTTAATGGTTTTAAATGATTAAATCTTGTTTCTGAATGTTCTAAATTATATTTCACATTTTCTCAATAATCAAATGTTATTCTAATAAAAATAAAATATGAAAAATTCAGACATTTAAAAAAAGCTTATAAACTAGCAAAAAGATATCATCTGGTTTGTTTGTTTTTGGTTTTGGTTTTTTGGGCCACACCCAGCGATACTCAGGGGTTGCTCCTGGCTCTGCACTCAGGAATCACTCCTGTTGATGGTTGGGCAATAATATGGGGTCCCAGGGATCAAACCAGGACACTGCGTGCAAGTACCCTACCTGGTACACTATCTCTCCAGCCCCAAAGGGATATAATCTGGTTATCTGGACAATGATCAGTACAGTTGAATGTTTTATAACTTTATTCATAAAAATTTATAACATTTGTATTTTAAAAATAAGTTGAATTTATGACTTAATATTTGCTACTTATTACTTTTTCAAATTCTGTTTAGGGAAGGTGGTTTTATGCTTTATTGGCTTGTCTGGAAAAACCTTTATTGCCTGAGGCACATTCACTGATTCGACAGCTTGCAAGAAGGTGCTCCGAAGTCAGACTCTTAGTAGTAAGTTGAAACTTAATATTTCAAGTTGAAAGTACGTAATTTAAATGATGATAAAAGATTTCAATGAAATATGAATTCCAGTGAAATAAAAAAATTATAGTAATGGTACAGCAGTTAGGGCCTTTACTTTGCATGCGGCGACCTAGGTTTGATCCCCAGCATCCTATGTGGTCCCCCGAGCACCATTAGGAGTAATTCCTGAATAAAGAGCCAGGACTAACCCCTAACCCCTGAGCATCGCTGGGTGTGACCCATAAAGGAAAAAAAAAAGGAAAGAAAAGAAATAGAAATTAGAGTATTTTTCTTAGAATTAAATTTCAAAACCTGATAAAGAAGCTCAATATATCTATTGCTTAAAAACAGTAGAAATTTTGCTCAGTAGGGGAGCCAGAGTGAAAACCCGGTTCAATCCCTGGCACCCCATATGGTCCCCTGAGCCCACCAGGAGTGATGCCCCCACCTGCCTGCCCTAAAAAGGCACATGAATGAGATCTATCTAGGATGGAGTAATCGAGGTCTCTAAGTTATGCTGCATGTGGCTTCCATCCTCATATTCACTTCACTATGCAGGGTGGCCTCTGAAGCTTCAGCCATTGTATTTCATTAAAGAAGAGAAAGGGTTAACCTCCTTGCCTTCTTAGAGTTTCCACAGCACATTGATGGACTTATTAACCAGAATTTAGTCACATACCCATCGATAAGTATAGGCATTGTTCACTTTTAGTTGGGTGGCAGTCTGCCTAGCTAAATAGGAGTTTTATTTGCTTAATAGTAAAGAGAGACAGGAAATTAAAGCAGTCATCAAGCAGTCTTTGGCACAATGATTATTTTGAGTTTTTCCCGTCAGATTCTTTTGCTTGTCCCCCACCCCTTGCCACTGGAGTGGGGTGTGGTTTGAGGCCATAAACAGCAGTGCTCACCGCTTAGGAGACCATAAGTGGTGCTGGGAATCAAACCACATTTGGCCACATGCAAGGCAAGTGCCTTAATCTCTCAATCAGATCCTTTTAACTCATGCCTCCATCAGTACAGGATAATAAAAAGTAATTTGATGCCAAATTAAGTCCACTTCTGATGTTTTCCTTTCATCCGTCCCTCCCTTCTACAAAATATGTGCTTGCTTTCCATTGACTATCGCAAAGACCCTCATAGAATATCCATGATATGACCCCTACCAAGTTATATAATATGTACTCCAAGCACATTGTACCTGTTAAGTATTCCCAGTGCTTTGTTCTTTGGCTTCCATTTCCTTTACTTATGTACCTTTCCCCTGTCTTCTAACCTGCATCTACATACCGTTTGTTTTTTTAAGTACAGTTCATATTCTTTTTTATTCTTATTCATTTCTTTCTATGGTATTTTCCCTGATTCTAACTTCAAAAAAAAAAAAAAAGAATCTTTCGCCCTCTGTTGTTCTGTTATGTTTTGTATCATCTTTTTGGCACCTAATACATTTTTTTTTATTGTTAAAGCTACTGTATGAGTATTTCATGTTTTGCGCTCTTACTAATGTAATGTGTTTTATTCAGCTTTGTTCCGTATAGAACTTGGCATAAAGAGGAACTGAAAATACTGACATCATCGAAGTGTTCCCAAGTTTGAATGACTAGCAGGTTGGGGATATGGTAGAACACGCACCCATAAGGCCCTGGGTTCAATCCCACCACCACACATACACACACGCACGCACGCATGCATGCACACGTGCATGGTCTGGCTCAAAAACATTTTGAAAAAAGAAAGAAAAGTAAACTTTCCGAATTGTCGTTTTGTGTATGTCGGGGGTGGGAGGGGCAGTTTGGGCCATACCTAGCTGTGCTCAGGAATCACTTTTGCTCATGGAACTTGATGCAGTGCTGGAAATCAGACAGCTCGGCTTTATAAAAGGCAGCTTCCTTAACCCCTGTACTATATTTCCAGCTCTGGTTTTTTCTTTTTTTTTTTTTAACAGGGATCCCCCCATAGTGTGGAACTGAAGAGTTGGTGATCAGGAGTTAATGCTCAGGGCCCCCAGAGCTACACTTGGTGTTGCTGGAGGTAGAAAGGAAGGCATACAGTGCCAGAGATCAGCTCAAGGCCCTAAACATTCCAGGACTCTGTTCTCGCTTTGAGCTCTCCTCTCTATCCCCTGTGGTGACAAAGATGTCACTGCTTCTCAGTTGTAAGCTCTTTGAATTTTTTTTTCATTACTATTAGGACATGAATATTGGTGGTGTTTTGGTTGTTCTTTTGTTTTTGTTTTTGTTTTTTTGGGGGTCACACCCGGCGATGCACAGGGAATATTCCTGGCTCTGTACTCAGGAATTACTCCTGGCAGCTGCTGTACTTTGGTACCAGAGCAAAAAACTAAACAAAACCAAAAAGAAAAAAAAAATCCTCCCAGGTATGCCACCTGCTGAGAGTCTTCAACTGTAACTTTATTTCTCCATTTCAAAGCTTTCTTTAAAGGATACTAACCTTGGGGGAGGGCATCGTATTAGGTTAGGTTATGCATGAGACCCTATCATTAACAGTATTGTACATTGGAGCCAGAGTGATTGTACAGTAGGTAAGGTGCTTGCATCCAATATGGTCCCTTGAGCACTGCCAGGAGTGATCTCTTACCACAGAGCCAGGATTAACCCCTGAGCATCACAGAGTGTGGCCCAAAAACTTAAAAAAAAAAAAAAAGATAGTGTAACTGTGGTATTTAAATAAAGTTTGAAAATAATTAAATATTAACATGCCTGTATGTGTAAAGCCCTAGATTTTGTTTTTTGGTTGTTGTTTTTTTTAAGAGATCTTGAACTGCAGTTTTTCTCTTCCTGTGAACTTTTCCATTGGAAAACTAGTTTCAGAGGTATTATGAGAGGGCCAGAGTGATAGTACAGCGGGTAGAGCATTTTCCTTGCTTGAGGCCAACCCGGGTTCAATCTCTGGCATCCCATATGGTCCCCCGAACACAGCCAAGAGTAATTCCTGAGTGCAGAGCCAGGAGTAACCCCTGAGAATCACTGGGTGTGACCCAAAAAGAAAAAAAAGTTATATATATATATATGTGTGTATATATATGTATATGTATATATACATATATACACACACACACACACACATACATATATACATATATATATATATATATATAAAATAGGAGAGATGGCTGGGGAGAGATAGTATAGTCATTCCATGTTTTGCATTCACCTCACCCCAGTCTAGTGTTTGGAAATACATATTCCCTTCCCCAGCACCAGAGGTAGGTACTGGCACCTAAGGCCGAGCAGCTGACATCACACTGAAAATTGCTGGGAATAGCCCCCAGGTCCCCTGAACACCTCTTAGGAAGCCGTCCACACACAAATGTACATACAAAAATATATACACACATATACATATACGTTTATATTTTCCCTATTACATGTGCATATCTTAGGAGAAAACAGACCACATTGTAAAGCTACTTTCTTTTTTCTTTTTCTTTTCTTTTTTTTTTTTTAGGACAGCAAAGATGATGACCGAGTTCCTGCTTTAAATTTATTAATCTGCTTAGTTAGCAGGTAAGAAGTAATCTTTAGCTTCTTCCTTTATAATAGAGTTGTTAGTAGGGGTAAGAATATGGCTCTTATTATATAATAAGAAAATTATAAAAAACACATGTCACAACTCCCTAGTTTTTGTCTATAAATAATTTTACAATAAAGAGCCTTTGTATAATAGCTCTAAGGGTAAATTTTTTGAAGTAAATCAAAGGATGTGTATTTTTGATATTTGTCAGTTTGCCTTCCACAAATTTTGTACCATTCTCTCTTCCCATTAAGTTTTATGAAAGTCTCCATCTGTTAGTCCATTGGCCTTCCACCGCTGGTGGGACCAGAGACAGGTGTCAGTCCATGGGTATAAAAAGAATGAAGAATGCTATCTTAGTCAACACTTAGTAGTTTCAGTTGATTAAAAGTATTTCTACTATACTTAAGTAGAATCCCAGCCACTTTAATCATCTTACAAAATATTTATACTAGATATATTCACATGCATGTAAATGTAATAGAATAGTGTCTCAGACCAATCTGTCACTCACCTTCAACAATTGTTAATTCTTCACCAGAATGTCTCATCTATTCCATCTATCTTGTTAATATATTTTAAATTTGGGGGTGAGGCTGGTTTGGGCACTTTCCCTAGCTGTGCTCGTAAAGCCCTGCAGTGCCAGGGATTGAACCCAGGTTCCAGCCTGCAAAGTCTGCACTCCAACCCTTGTATCTTTGGCCACTGTAATTGTACTTTAAACAAATCTCAGACATGTCATTTTTCCTGTTTTATAAAATATCTGATAAGAACTTTTTAAAATATGAGAATAGGGAGGTTAGAGAGACATTAGAGCAGGTAGGCCTTGCATGCCGCCAACCCAGGTTCAGTCCCCTATATGCCAGGAGTAATCCCTGAACATAGAGCCAGGGGTAAGTCCTCAGCATAGCTGGGCTTTGGTATGGCCCAAAAACAAAAAATTATAAGAGTAGGGTCAATGAATAGAGATAGGAAGGAAATAGAAATAAAACTGTGCATTCAAATTGTTACTTTAGTTTTAATTTAAAATTGTTATTTTTCTATAATGGGCTGGAGCAGTAGCACAGCGTGTAGGGCGTTTGCCTTGCACACAGCCAGCCCACCCGAGCTGGGTTCTATTCCTCCGCCCCTCTCGGAGAGCCCGGCAAGCTACCAAGAGTATCTCGCCCGCACAGCAAAGCCTGGCAAGCTCCCCGTGATGTATTCGATATGCCAAAACACAGTAACAACAAAGTCTTGCGATGGAGACGTTACTGGGCCCACTCGAGCAAATTGATGAACAATGGGAGGACAGTGAAACAGTGATTTTTCTATAGTATTATTTATTTCTTTTGCTAAAAATTCTGTTCTTTAAAAACATTCACATAATTATTACGTTTATCCTACAATATGAATATAATAGTTTCAAAATAATACGTCAGTGTTACAATAAAACAATTGAAATCAGTTTAAGAATTTTTTGAAGTTTGGGGTCTAGACAGATAGTTCAATGATTTGAGCACATGCTTTGCATGCAGGAGGCCATATCTAATCCCTGGCACTGAGTGGTCCCTGAGCACTACTGGGAGTAGTCCCTGAGCAGAGAGCCAGGAGTAGCCCCTCAAAAAGAAAAATAGAGCCACAAAGATTGTATAGGAGGTAAGGTGCACTTGCCTTACATGTAGCCAACTTTGGTTTAAATCCTTGAACACCATAAAAAGTCCTTACTGAGCATTGTGCCAGGAATTGTCCCTGAGCACCATTATATGGTCTAAACACCTCTTTCCACGAACAAGTAAGGTAAAATAATAATTCTTTGCAGATTTGTTGTGGGGTTTTGCTTATTTTTTCTGGTTAATGTAACACCACACTGCTAAATTTTAGGTCACCTAAAATTATTCTCTTTGGTTATGCTACTTAATATAAAAAAAAATTCATTTGGCAGCAGTGATGATTGTCCTTTATTTATTTACTTTTTGGTTTCTGGCAGTACTCAGGGAACCAGGCAGTACCAGGGATTGAATCTGGGGCTCCTGTTACCAAGCATATGATCCAGCCCTTTGTGCTGTCTCCCCAGCCCATGCTTTTCTTTTTTATAATGAGATAAAATATTTATTGTTCCAGAGTTACACTTATTCTTCAGTATATAGTTTGCATAGATCCTACTTTTATCAGACTCTTCCATTCTTCAGTAATCATTTATTTATTTTTAGCTTATCCTTCCATTGTTTTTTAAATGTAAGTAAATGTATGTAAATATCTGCTCATAAAAGGTATCATTTTAAAACACTGTTCTGTTTGGTTTGTTTTATTGTTTCATTCTGGAAATCCTATCGCAGTACTGTTGTTTTCTTCATTTCTTTATTATAAAATCATCATGGTTTTCACTGTACTGTGCTTTATTAAACCCCCTTGATAATGAATCTTTGGGTTTTTGCAGTTTTTATTTTTAACTTTGAGTCACATCCAGAGGTGATCAGGGAGCACTCCTGGCAGTGCTCAGGAACCACTGTGGTTCCAGGGACCAAATCTGGATAAGCCACAGTAGAAGACTTACCCGTTATACCCTCTCCAGTCCTATTTGATATTACAAAGTAGTTACAAAGCAGTGCAGCAATTAATATTTTAAGCATATATTAATTTTTTTTTACCAGATATTTTGATCAGCGTGATTTAGCTGATGAGCCATCCTGATGTAGCTGATCTTGGGGACAAAAGACATTTGTTGATGAAGACAGTTTAGGAGAGCAGTGAGTGCCATCACTTTGCTTCCTGTCATCAGTACTATGTGAAGCGGCCTCATCTTAGCCTGTGCAACTAAAGATAATATTCAGAAGATGGACTTACTGTTTTGATTATCTGAAGTATCTTTGGAGAATTCCAGTTTCTGATAAATAATTTAAAAGGTTTTTTGTAGTTACATGCATTTAAAACAAATTGAGTGTCATTTATTGGTCAAATGTCTTTCACTAAAACTGTATGATGAAATTTTATAAATTTTTTTGATGCTGTTTCATGACTGTTTACATGTATACTCATTTTTTTTTCCTTAAGGGCAGGAGGGGAGGAGGGGGAGAGGGGAGAGCAGGCCAGAGCAGTAGCAGAGAGAGCATTTTCCTTGCACATGGCTATCCCAGGTTTGATCCCTGGCACCCCATATGGTCACCTGCAGGAGCCAGGAATAGACCCTGAGCACTAGCCAGGTGTGACCCCCCCACACACACACCTTTTTCTTTGCAGTGTTCATGGGCTACTCCCAGCTTTCTACTTAGGGGACCATATGGTGCCATAGGTCAAAACTGGACCTCCCACATTATGTTTCAGTTACTAAAATTCAAATTCATTTTACTCATCAAAGTAAGGCAATAGTTAATCATCCTTAGAGTGAAAATAATCTAGATTAAATGTCAAATTGTTCATAGCAGCAGAAGTAAATATTTAAGTATTTATGTGGTGGGAGAAGATTTGGACCATACTAGCAGTGCTCAGGGATCACTTCTGCAATGCTTAGGGGACCATTTGTGATGCTGGGGATCAAACCAGGGTAAGCCACATGCAAGGCACGCACCTTAAACCCTGTATTGTCTCTAGCCACCACCACCATCCCACCCAGATTTACTTTTGAGATTTTTAACATGGAATCCAAGAATTTGAATGGGAAAAAACTATAACACTACTTTTACTATACCTTCAGCAATGAATACAGGCAACAAATCACAGTAGTATGCACTGACATTGGTGACTTTATTACTAATGGAAGTCACAAATACTACAAAATTATAGTTGCAAATACTTCAACTCCCACTGTACTCTGAAATATGGTAGTGATTAAATACACCTCTAGATCATGTGTGATTTTAGAATTCCTCTGTATAGCTTCTGGAATGATGTACATGGCCAACAAAACTATGTAAAGGTGTGGAAGTCAATGTCAAACATATTTGTGTGCTTCGCAATGGTCATTTGATTGCTCACATTCAGTCTTCATTACATTCCAGCATTACCGATAGAGTATGCATGAAAGAAACTATGCATGAAAAGAACTTAATTAGAAGACCATCCAGAGGGACCAAAAGTGATAGTACAAGCAGTAAGGCATATACCTTGTATACAGCCAACCTGGGTTTGCTCCCCAGAATCCTATTTGGTCCCGTAAGCCTGCCAAGAGTGATTCATTTTTTTTTTAATTTTTTATTAGTGAAACACCATGAGGTACAGATATAGATTTACAAATTTTTGTGCTTGGGTTTCAATTATACAATGATCAAATACCCATCCCTCCACCAGTGCCCATTTTCCACCACCATGGATCCCAGTATCCCTCCCACACCCATCTCTCCCACCCCACCCTGCCTCTCAAGAGTGATTCTTGAGTCAGAGCCAAGGGTAAGCCCTGAGCACCACCGGGTGTGGCCCCAAAACAAAACAAAAAGACTATACATATGGAGCTAAAGAAATAGTACTACTGGTAGGACATTTGCTTTCCATGTAGCCAATCCAGGTTCAGTCCCCAGCACTCCATATGGTCCCCTGAGCACCACCAGCAGTAATCACTGAGTGCAGAGCCAGGAGTAAGCCCTAAGCACCAACAGGTATGCCACCGCCCCCCCTCAAAAAAAGACTACATTCTAGTCAAGTTAAAGAATAGCAGTTACATTGAAGTCATTATTAAAAGTACATTTAGTTTGGGGGCCACACCCTGCTGTGCTCAGGGCTTGCTCCTGACTTTGCTCAAGGATCACTCCTGATGGGCTTAGGGGACCATATGAGTACCAGGGATTGGATCCATGTTGGCCATGCAAGGCAAACACCTGCTGGGCTATCAGTCTGTCACCTAAAAATAAAATTTTAAATCTTATATACAGGTTAATAAATTTCAACAGACTACCAAATAGGAATCCACGGTCCTAAAACTGGTGAAGAAACTTCCCATGATGGGCCAACCTGGGTGTGATACATTCCTTTTGGTCCCCTGAGCCCCACCAGGAGTGATCCCTTCTACCCCGCCATCTCATCCCACCCCCCGCCAACAAAAAACCAAAGTTGCACCATAAGACCAGAGAGGTAATGTGCTTGTCTTGCATACATCCAACCTGGATTATGCTCAAAGCACTACATAAGGGCACTACCAAGTGTGATCCCTGTACTCAAAGCCAGGAGTAAGCCCTCAGTACAGCTGTGTGTCACCAAAAAAATTAAACTGAACCATAAACAAAATGCTTTCAGCACTTTGATTCCATATAAGTAGGGTGTTAGAGAAATACCCTATGTGAGTTGAAATAAATTTCAGTATTTATTGGGAACATACGTGAGTGAACATACGTGAGTTGAAATAAATTTCAACATTTATTGGGAACAATAACTGAACTGCCTCTCAAGAAGAAATTACTGATTTGTCCAAAAGGAGACATAGGTCAGTACAACTTTGGATGAGTGTAGAGTGGTATTCCATGAGATCTATAGACAATTCCTCGTTTTGTTTATTGGTTTTGGGATCACAGTGTCAGTGCACAAGACTTACTTTTAGTTCTATGCTTAGTATATAAAACTCCAGGCAGTACTCCAAGAACCATATGTGGTGGTGGAGACTGGACAGGAGTTGGCCGCATGCAAGGCAAGTACCATAATTCCCTATATTATCCCTGGCCCAGACTCCTCGTTCTGAAGAATGGATTACATCATTCCTCTACAAAAGCAGCTTGGTCTGTATTACTGACTTACCTTCTACAGAAAATAACCTCTTCTGTGTAGCACCAAGCATCTTGTACAGTCCTCTAGAAAACACACCTGAGTGCTTTTCGACTCTGCTAGGTGGCCCCAGTGACTTCATTTAATCTCAGAGCCGTATCACTATTCCAACCCAACTCTCCATTTACAAAATCCTCTGACTCCAAAAAATAGTTTTAAAATGACTGACTTTCACAGTCAGCAATAGTACAGCAGGTAGTGCTCTTGGCTTATATGCAGCCAACCCGTGTTCAATCCCAGATAGTCTCCCAAGCACTGCCAGGAGCTAACCATAGAACCAAGGATAAGCACTGAGCACAGTTGAGTATGGCCCAAAAAACTGTGTGTGTGTGTGTGTGTGTGTGTGTGTGTGTGTGTGTGTGTGTGTGTGTATTACTGGCTCATGGGTTAGAGAGATAACTCAAAGGGCTAAGCACATGTTTTGCATGCAGGAAGGCCAGATTCAATCCCTGTTATTTCAAGAGTCCCCAAGTCCATGGTCTTCCAAGCTGAACAAGCCCTGCACAGAGCCAGAAACAATACCCAAGCACCACATAATGTGATTTCAAAACAGTAGAAATAAACATTACTGCTTTTTCTTTTTTTTTTAACTCACAGAAAATTTTTTATTATGGAACTTTTTTGAGGGCTATTCCTGCAGTGCTCATAACTTACTCTTGGTGGTGCTCAAGGGACCTTATTTGGTACCAGAGATCAACCCAATTAGGCCTCATGCAAAGCAAACATTTTAACCCCTGTGCTTTCTTTCTGCTGTTTGGGGAATGATTTTTTTAATAATACAAAGGTAAAACTTAAAAAATCGTAGATCTATTGTAAAGACCACTCATAACTTTCCCATCTTAGTTTTTCCCCAGGAATATATATTGTATATGTTTAATGTATACAGTGTGATCATTTGATATTCTGGTTTTGGCATTTTGGGTGTGAGGTATTTTTTTCCTTTTTTGATTTGGTATTGGGTTTTTTTGGCGAGGGGGGGGCGGTGTAGGGCCATTCCTTGTTGTATTCAGGGGTTATACTCCTGCAGTACCCAGGGTCTCTCCTAACAGTGCTTGGGAAACCATGTGGTACCAAAAATCGATTTAGGAAATTCTAGCTTCTGAGTCATCTCCCAATGTATTATTTTACATTTTAAAAAAAGCTTTTTTTGGTATCATGGGTTTTATTTGTGGAACTCCAGGGAGTTATCTTCATACCTCTCTATATGCATGATTCTTTCCAATCTGTCCACCAAAGTTTTCAGTGCCATCTGACCATAAAATTATCTCCTCTTCATTCCTCCCTTCCCCAGTCCCCTCTCCTTCTATAACCACCTGTTTCTACAGACTCTGGCACTTGGTTTTGTTGTTTCTTGTCAGTTTGTTTGCTTTAGTTATTTACATTCCATTTTCCACACAGAAAGTAAACCATCAGATAACTGTTCAAGGGAGAACACAGGCTGGAAGAACAAGCTCCTTCCTTTCTTCCTTTCTTTGCTTTTGGGTCACAGCGGCCGTGAAGCAGCCGCACGGGTCCGTCCTGGAGTGTGGCGGCGGCTGGGTAGTGGAGGTAGTGGGGTAGTGGAGGTCTGCCAGTGAGGTATTTATCTGGTCCCGGTAGGGGTAAGGAGGGTCTTCTGTGCGCAATCCAATCCCTGGGTCTCTGGTGGTTGGTGGAAGCAGACAGAGCAGGGTAGGGTGGGGCTCCTGATTTTAATCCCTTCGTCACCTGTGGTTGGTGGGAGCAAGCAGAGAATCTCTGTCCCTGGGTCCACTGAGCCTGGAGTCCAAGGTCTCAGAGTTCCGCTTATCTTGTTTTGTGGGGCTTCAGTGGTGTGTGGGTCTCGGCTGGAGCGGCCGTGCGGGTCCGGAAAGCATCCTGGAGTGTGGCGGCGGCTGGGTAGTGGAGGTAGTGGGGTCGCGCAACACATTATAAGACACTAAATACCCATCCTCCAGAATTGCCGTACCATATTTGATAGGGTTCAAATATGGCAACAACTACAAGGGCGATTAGAGGTTGCCCCAAATGCCTCTATCCCTCTCGGAAAGCCTGGCAAGCTACCGAGAGTATTCCTCCCGCACGGCAGAGCCTCGCAAGCTATCCGTTGTGTATTCGATATGCCAAAACCAGTAATTACAATGGGTCTCATTCCCCTGACCCTGAGGCTTCACCAATATGGCAGCATTGAGAAGGATGAGAAAGGTGAGGCCGATAAAATCTCAAGGCCGAAGTAGGCTGCCGCAACGAAGGAATACAAAAATGATCGTCTGCACTTTCAATGCACGTACGCTAGCATCAGATGCATCCATCGAGGACCTGATGGTACAAGCGTGAAAGATCAGGTACACCATCATTGGTCTGACCGAGACAAGAAGGCACCAATCTCATCATGCCGTTTTCGACACTGGAGAAGAATTGTTTCTCGGAACATGCGATAAAAGAGGTGTCTGAGGCGTCGGTGTCCTTGTCGACACAAACTTGACCATGAGCATTGATTCATTCGAATGCCTAACAACCCGAATCGGACGTTTACATTTGAACAGATATGGCTCACTGCCAGCAGTATCTATCTTCGTTGTCTACGCGCCAACATCCAATCATGATAGAGAAATTAAGAAGTTCTAAATGGAGCTGGAGAAGTTCTATATAGACCACACCTTCTACAAGATCATTGTGGGTGATTTTAATGCCAAGATAGGACCGAGAAGATCAGCTGAAGAACTCCACATTGGGACCCATGGCCTAGAATGGAACGAACAGGGTGAGAGACTGTCTGTGTTCATCATGTCGACCAAGACCATCCATGGTAACTCACAGTTCCAGAAGGACAAATCTAAACGTTGGACATGGGAGTCTCCTGGTGGACGATTCCACAACGAAATAGACCACATCATATTCAATCGACGGTTTTGCCTGACCGATGTCGCTGTTGTCCCAAAATTCCAAACGGGATGAGACCACTGTCTCCTTCATGCAAAATTCTACTTCACAGAGCGGGAAGAAAGGGCTGCAAAGTTTAAAAAGAGAACTCCCAGAACGACCACCAACTGGGAGCTCTTTGGCACTATTGCGGCAACATGGCAAGATGCCATTGTTGACAACATTGACGAGGAATACGATCGACTGGTTCAGCACCTCCATTATTGTGCGAGGAACGCCCAGAGAGATAGCCACAAAAAATGCCTGTCTTCGAAAACTCTTGAGCTTATTCACCAAAGTGGTTTGGCGCATGCCTCAGACAACCACAAGCGAACGTCCGAGCTCACAAAGGAGTGCAGAGATGCGATCAAGGAAGACCTCAAAGAGAGAAGAGCAGAAGTGCTGGTAGATGCGGCAGAAGGCAGGAAAAGTATTCGTAACACCTGCCTGTCCTTCGCCAACTACAAGACCAAGATGACTGCCCTCTGACGTCCTGATGGATCTATCACATCTTCCAGAACGGTAATGGAGATTATCCATGACTTCTACTCAAATCTTTTCGATAGCCATGTCCACTTGCAGACATACCAAATTCCACAGGATGGATATGTTGTTCCCAATGTTCTCCCTTCCAAAATCCGACACGCCATTTCGTCAGTAAAGAAACGAACAGCACCTGGCCCAGACAAGGTCAGACCTGAACACCTGAAGAACCTGCCGTCAGTACTTATCAATACACTGGCTCAGCTCTTCACACACTACCTGTCTGAATGCAAGTTTCCGTCCCAATGGAAAACCAGCAGGATTGTACTACTGTACAAGAAGGGAGACATCCATGACATTGGCAATTATCGCCCGATCTGCCTATTGTCTGTCATCTACAAGTTGTTCACTCAAATCATCCTAAATAGGATTGGCAGAACACTAGATGAAAGACAACCATGCGAGCAAGCCGAGTTCTGTTAAGGATTCAGTACCATCGACCATATCCACACGATAACCAAGCTCATTGAGGTTTCTTGGGAGTTCAAGATGCCGCTCTGTCTAACGTTCATTGATTTAAAGAAGACCTTTGATTCTGTTGAGACAGAAGCGGTCATTGAAGCCCTAGCCAATCAGGGCATTCAAGCTCAAGACATCAAGATCCTTCGTGAGCTGTATTACAGATTCACTACCAGGATCTCACCATTCTACAAAGAAGTAATCATTGATGTCAAGAGAGGGGTTCGGCAGGGTGATACCATTTCACTGAAACTCTTCGGTACCACCCTCGAGAACAACATGCGACGACTGGAATGGGAAGGAATGGGAGTGAAGATAGATGGTCAGCAACTACACCACCTCCGCTTTGCTGATGACATTGTTTTAATAACACCAAACATTAGCCAAGCAGCACAAATGCTGGCCGACTTCGACCATGAGTGTGGAAAGGTCAGACTACAGCTGAATCTTACGAAGACAATGTTTATGAGAAACAGCCTCGTTCTTGACGCCCCATTCGGTCTCAACAGAACGACCATCTCTGAATGCAACAGCTATGGTACCTAGATGGAGAAGTCAACATGACAAATGACCTGGCACCCGAGCTGCGCAGGAGGAAGAGATCGGCTTGGAACGCCTTCAAGAGCATTGAAGAAATAGCTAATAGGACAAAGAACCTCCTGCTCCGGGCACATCTCTTTGATTCCACTGTTCTTCCTGCATTAACATATGCCTCAGAGACCTGGGCCCTACGCAAACAGAATGAGAACGCTATTCGGGTCTCCCAAAGAGGAACTGAAAGAGCTTTGCTTAGAATATCATGATTTACTCAAATGAGAAAGAATCCGGAGTTCGACCTCCATCGACGATAAAGAATCAAGAATCAGGGACGCTGTCTTGTTTGCCAAGGTGTCAAAAATCAGATGGGCTGGTCACGTAATGAGATTTAAAGACGACCGCTGGACTAGAGCTGTTACCGACTGGATTCCACAGGATGTCAAAAGACCGCGTGGCCTCCCACCCACCAGATGGTCAGACTTCTCCATCAAGATCATGAACAATCAGTTTGAGGCTCGTGTTCCTAGAGCGAACAGACGCCATTGGGCTACACTAGCACGCGACAGGGACAAATGGAGACGTTACTGGTGCCCGCTCGAGCAAATCGACAATTAATGGGAAGTCAAGTGATCAAGTGGGTCACAGCCAGCTATGCTCAGAGATTACTCCTGACTCAGGGGTATTCCTGACATGATTTGGGGGTACTAAAGTATGGATGATCCTCAAAAAATTAGAAATTGAGCTCCCATTTGACCCAGCAATACCACTCCTGGGAACATATCCCAGAGAAGCAAAAAAATATAGTCGAAGTGACATCTTCACCTGTTTGTTCATTGCAGCAGTCTTTACAATAGCCAGAATCTGGAAAAAACCTGAGTGTCCAACAACAAATGATTGGTTAAGAAACTTTGGTACATCTACACAATGGAGTACTATGTAGCGGTTAGAAAAGATGAAGTCATGAAATTTACATACAAGTGGTACTACATGGAAAGTATCATGTTAAGCAAAATGAGTCAAAAAGAGAGGGATATACATAGAAAGACTGCATTCATCTGGGGAACATAAAATGGAGACTAACACCCAAGAATGGCTGATGAGATTAGTGCCAGGAATTTTGCTCCATGGCTTGGAGGCCAGCTACACATGCTAGGGGAAAAGGGAGCTCAAATAGAGAAGGAAGCACCAATTAAAGGGTGTTGGGAGGATCCTCCCAGGATGGGAGAAGCATGCTGAAAGTAGACTATAGACCGAACATGATTGCCACTCAATGCCTCTTTTGCAAACCACAGAACCCAAAAGGAGAGAGAGAACAAAAGGGAATGCCTTGCCATAGAGGCAGGGAGGGATGGGGGGGATGGTGAGTGGGAGGGATACTGGGACCCGTGGTGGTGGAAAATGGGCACTGGTGGAGGGATGTGTACTTGATCATTGTATAACTGAAACCCAAGCACAAAAATTTGTAAGTCTATAACTGTACCTCATGGTGTTTCACTAATAAAAAAATAATAATAAATAAAAAAATTTAAGAAAAAAGACAGCTTTTGGGGGTCCTCTCTCCCAACCTCTATGTATATTTACTACTGGGTTTATTTTGTTTCTGAGAGTGACTTGGAAGAGTTTGTTATGTACTTGGGAAAGTAACCTCGTATCACACATATGGCTTGCAAATATTTCCTCTATCACAAACCTCATTCAGGTTCTTTTGCCATGCAGTTTTCTGGTTTGATGTACTGTTTCCTTATTTTTGCTTCTGTTGCCTATCTTTTGGTGTTCGAGAAATTATTGCCAAGACAAATACTATGAAGCTTTTCCCACTTTCTTCTAAGAGTTTTATAGTTCTAGGTCTGAAGTATAAGTCTTCAATCCACTGAGTTGATTTTTCTGCATGTTTTAAGAAATGTTCATATTTCATCTTTTTACTGTATTGTGCTAGAGGTCAAATTTCTTTCTTTCTCTTTTTCCCCCAAAGTGCTTCCTTTTTTTTTTCTCTTTTTGGGTCACACCTGGCGATGCACAGAGGTCACTCCTGGCTCTGCACTCAGGAATCACCTCTGGCAGTGCTCAGGAGACCATATGGGATGCTAGGAATCAAACCTGGGTTGGCTGTGTGCAAGGCAAATACTGTACCTGCTGTGCTATTACTCCAGCCCCAAAGTGCTTCCTTTTTAACGTGCAGATCTTGTGTAAATTAAAAAACTAATTTAAAAATCCATTTTAAGGAATAACAATCGTAGGTAGAGTTGAAATTTCTTGTGGCTCTAGAATTATACCTGAAATGCTGTGGATCACACTCAATGACATGACAGTGTCAGGGACAGAACAGAGTCCTTATTAAACATTCAAGGCAGACACTACCACGGAGCGACATCCCTGAGACCCCAAGTTCATTCTTTTGCACCCAGTTTTCCCTATACCATTTTATTGAAGATGGACATTATTTTTCAAATTTATGATTTTCTACAGGTTTTCAAAAGACCTTCCCTACATATAAGATCATATAACTAATATCATATTTTTTTAAGTAGTTTTGTTTTTATTTTAACATGTGAACTTTTAAGGGTCTTCCTCTTCTCCCCAGTTTCCCTGCCAGAAAAAAAGAAAATTCAATTTTGGCATATAATTCTTTATATAATCTAACCTCCCATTGTCACTTTGAAGAAATTTCTTTATGGTTACAAGTAATAGAATACAAAACCAAAGTGGATTGAACAATATAAGGAATTTAATATCCCACATAAAAAGTCCAAAGATAAAGCAATTCCGAGACAGGCTAATTCGGAAGCACAATCTACGTGCTTTCAGTCTTTGTATTCTCCTGTCCTCAGTGATGGTTTCCATCTTCACGCTGATCCATTCACAGTCAAAACAAGCGAGAGATACACTCAAATGAGCATTGACCCCAAACAGTGAGAAATACAGTCCACTGAACTTTTGTGTAAATAATTCAATCCAATCCACACCTTAACCCTTAGGGAAACTAAATAAGAAAATAAAAATATTAGAACCATCACCAGCATTTTTACCCATAGGGAAGAAGCTGAAAGCAGAGACTGTAACAGAAGTATAAACAGCTCTTCCAAAAAATTAATATTCTCTGACTATGGAGTCCACTGTATTATTCACATTTTATTTTGATGGGGAAAATAGGGGGTGGGGGGTCCCCAGGGAGCCAAAACTTGGTACTCAGGAACTATCACAGGTTCTGTACTCGTGTTACTCCTTGCAATGCCATGCATGCCAGTGAACAATATGGGTGAGTCACAGGCAAGGCAAGCCCCTTAATCCTGTTCTCTGTACCACCTTTAATTCACATTTAAACTAATCTGTAGTTTACCTAAGGACTTAATTCTATTAAAAGTAAGTTTTTAAGCAACTTAGGCAGTCACATGATAGGTATATACACCCTGTGCACAAAAAAACTATATAATGAAATCCTTACATAGACATAAAAATTCTTATTCTTAACAAAATAAATTATAAGCAATAAAAATTTAGCTTTAGTGTACTACCTGCTTTTGTTTAAATAAAATAAATTTACAAAACACACCCAAAAATTATTCTGACTGATGCATATTTTTTTAATACGAATTTACCAAACCCTGAGTTTTGCTTCTCCATTTGTTGTTAAGTACATATCACTCTAAGCCATAAAGTTTAAATAAAGGTCCTTCGTTTTGGTTTATTTGAAATCAGGTACTCATTTTGAATAGTTTTAGAAAAGAAAATGTTATGGTAGAGTGCCTCTTAACTGTTTTAACTTGGTCAGTGGTAAATCAATAAAACGCCTTACCTCTGCTTAAGAATGCATCTTTCGTTATATAAATTAGCAAACAGCTTACATCAATATAAATGTTCAAATGAAATTGAATCACTGCTACTTCGAATAGTTTATGTGAATAATTTATCTCTTTAAACTGCTGAAGTTTTGCTTTTTCAGTATATTTTACAGCTTCTGTATCATCACCTGAAATTTACCTAAAAGAGAAAGCAATGAAAAATCATGCTTTGATTTTAGTTACAAGGAAAACAAACCTAAGCTTCACTTGTAAGAAACTGCTATGCCAAACAACTTTTCACACTTCATAATATTCAATTTCTTTCTTTCGCTTTTATTTTTTGTTTAGTGGTCACACCAGCAGTGCTCAGGAGTTACCTCTGACTCTGCTCTCAGGGTTTACTCCTGGCAGGACTCTGGGGACCATATGGGATGCCAGGGATCCATCCTGAGTCAGCCATGCACAAGGAAAGCACCCTAATCGCTGTACTGTCATAAATAAATCTCTGGTCCCAGAAATTTCTCCATTATAAGAATCAATCCTTAAGAGCTGTCTTGTTGGGGCTGGAGCGATAGCACAGCAGGTAGGGCATTTGCCTTGCACGCAGCCAACATAGCTGACACAGGTTCGATTCCCAGCACCCCATATGGTCCCCTGAGCACCGCCAGGAGCAATTCCTGAGTGCATGATCCAGCAGTAACCCCTGAGCATCGCTGGGTATGACCCAAAAAGCAAAAAAAAAAAAAAAAAAGAGCTGTCTTGTTAATTTGGATTTCTTCAGTTTATTTTCTTAAATAACTGTTCATTATTATTTTTTTAAAAAATCACCAAATATCAGTATGCTCCATATTACGTTATATTACAATTGGTAAAAGTAAAATGATCTTAGCATTTTAAATTTCCTCTACATCAACAGAAATAATATAGCACACCTGAAAACTAATTATTAAAAAGATGTATAAGGGGGGGTATGGTGCCACCAGCAGGTCTATCTGTACCTGTGAGGCGAGTGCATCAGCAGCCTGATGGGGCCTTCGGACTTCCAGATACCCCAAAATTGCTGCTGTGCCTCTGGCCAGACCTCAAAAACTTGGGGCAAAGTTTACCAAGAAAGTAAATGGCCAAAAGTTAGGTATGTGGGAAACACACCCACAAACCACCTCCGGCTCAGCTATATAATTGGAAGCATGGCCTCTCTGGTTCCTGATGGAACTGCTTAATGGCCATGATCCCAGAGGCTCAGAAACAAATCTCGAAACCCAGCAGCTTTTGGCAGAAATGCACCTGGTCCCTGCAGTAGATTACCAGTGCTGGGCAAACCCAGGTGGGAATAGGTTTTGTGCCTTGGCCTGTTCCCCCCTGGCAGCCCAGTGGCCACCATCCTTCAGAGGCCACTGGACAGTCAGTCATGAAACACACAGGGCTCAGGGGATGGGGGTGGAGCCGGTCCTGTCCTCCCCACCCCAACGAGACCCCAAGTCATCGCCCACGAACGGCCTCTCTGGCTCCTGATCAAGCTGCTTAACGGCCATGATCCCAGAGACTCAGAAACAAATCTCGAAACCCAGTGGCTTTTGGCAGAAATGCGTCTAGACCCCACAGTATGTTACTGTCGCCGGGCCACCCCAGGGAGGAAAGGGTGTTGTCACTCCGCCTGCTCCCCTTTGGTGGCGTGGTGGCCATCATCCTCCAGAGGCCATTGGACAATCAGGCTTGGGCCCGCAGTGACGAAACTTGTTGGGCCTCACAGGATGGGGGGGAGCCAGGCCTGTCCTCCCCACCCCAACGAGACCCCAAGTCATTGCCCACGAATGGCCTCTCTGGCTCCTGATCAAGCTGCTTAACGGCCATGATCCCAGAGATTCAGAAACAAATCTCAAAACCCAGCGGTTTTTGGCAGAAATGCGTCCGGACAACACGATAGGTTACTGTCACCGGGTCACCCCAGGGGGGAAAGGGTGCTGTCCCTCCGCCTGCTTCCCCCTGGCGGCTCAGTGGCCGTCATCCTCCAGAGGCCACTGGACAGTCAGGCTTGGGCCCGCAGTGACGAAACTTGTTGGGCCTCAAGGGATAGGGGTAGAGCCGGGCCTGTCCTCCCCACCCCAATGAGACCCCAAGTCATCACCCATGAATGGCCTCTCTGGCTCCTGATCAAGCTGCTCAACGGCCATGATCCCAGAGACTTAGGAGCAAATCTCGAAACCCAGTGGCTTTTGGCAGAAATCCCTCCAGATTTAATTGTTAAAATTTCAGAATTTCAAAATCACATGGCCCTACTGCAGCCACGCGACATCATATGTTATTCATAACCAGCAATAGAACACAAACTGTCTACTGTTGCCTTTTCAGCAGATCCTAGTGTTGGGGTAAAATCTCAAATAATAATGGTGGGTCTGGTGTCAAAATATTGAATGTGATCAAAGTAGACAGAGAGTAATGTGGAAATCATCTGCCCCACAGGTAGGGGGAGGGTGTGGGATGGGGTATACTGGGGTTTTTGGTGGTGGAGAATGAGCACTGGTGAAGGTACGGGTGTTTCATTGTATGACCAAGACTTAGACCCGGAAGCTTTGTAACTGCTCTCACGGTGATTCAATAAATAAAATTATTAAAAAAAAAAAAAAAGATGTATAAGAAGCATGAACTTGTAGGGTATGGTGCCGCCAGCAGGTCAACCTGTACCTGTAGGGTGAATGTATCAGCAGCCTGATGGTGCCTTCAAACTTCCAGATACCCCAAAATTGCCACTGTGCTTTTGGCTGAACCCCAACAACTTGGGGCCAAGTTTACCAAGAAATTAAATGGTCAAAAGTTAGGTATATGGGAGCCACACCAACAAACCACCTCCGGATCATCTATAAAAGCTCATTCACTGGCCTTATTTCAGAGACCCATATATCTCAAAACAAATCAAAACCCTTAGTTAGGGTCGGCAGTGCAGCGCAATGCAGGCGAGTGGGTGCGCCCTGCTGGGCATATACCAACAGTTTATTTCTCTGGAAAAGATGGGAACAAGGGCCACGATCCAGAGACACACATAGGAGTCTCCAAACCAACCAGCTCGCTACAGAGATGCCTCCGGCCAACTGTCATCCCTCCACCTGCCCCCTAAAAACCACAGGAGCCACCAACTTCCAGAACCCAATAAGAAGTGCAGGTATGCAGGTTCAGTGACGACAAACTCCAGGCCTCCATAGGGGATGGGCTGGTCCCTCTCATTCCCCACTCCCCCACCACCCCCCCACCCCGTGTCCAACTGGACCCACAAAAGAATCTCTGAACTGAGCAGCTCACTGCAGAGATTTCTCCAGACCCTAATTATCTGGAATTTTGGAGTTCCAGGAGCACAGGGCCACAAAGCGGCCATCTTATGCTATTCATTATAAGCAATACAAATGAGAGTATGGGGGAAGATTGTCTGCCATAGAGGCAGGGGGAAGGGTGAGATGGGGGACCGATACTGAGGACCTTGGTGGTGGAAGATGTACACTGGTGGAGGGTCATATGACTGAAATCAAACAGGAAAGCTTTGCATCTCACAGTGATTAAAAAAAATAATAAAAAAATAAAATTAACATTCTGAATGAAAAAAGTAATGTGAAGTTCATGCCCAATTCAATCAGTTAAATTAATGGCTGAATAAATAGCAGTACTCCTACATTCAAGAAAGAAAGAAAGAAAGAAAGAAAGAAAGAAAGAAAGAAAGAAAGAAAGATAAACTTACATGCAGGCATTGAAGACACTTCAGCTGTTACAATACTTTTTATTCCCAAATTTGATAGGCCACCTCTGATTAAGCCACATGTAAATGCTAAATACTAAAAGAAAGAAAAATTATTTAAAAAACACTAAGAACTTACAAAGATAATAAAGCTATCAATAAATAATATTTAGTTAAATCCCACTGTAAATAAGCCATTGTTGTTTAAAATTATCAGATTTCCCAACTTCTTGGCAATTAAAACACAGGGATAACTTTTGTGTGTTTTGTTTTGGGGCCACACCCAGCAACGCTCATGGGTTTTATTCCTGGTTTTGAAGTCTGGAATCACTCCTGACAGTACTCAGGGGATCATATGGGATTATAGGGACCAAAACCCGAGTCAGGTACAGGCTCTGTGCAAAGCATACAACCTACCCATTATACCATCTCTTTAGCCCCATGCTCAGAAATTTTGTTTTATTTTCAGGCCACAACCAGTGATACTCAGAAATCACTCTTGGTGGTCCTTGGAGTGGGGGTGGGGGGGTGGTGATTGGGTGGTTGAGGTGGGGGATAGGGAACCATATGGGATACCAGAAACTGAACCAGGATAGGGCATGTGGAAGCACCCTACCCACTGTACTATCTCTGTTTCAGTTTCCAGTAGTATTTCTCAGGTATCAAAGTTATTTCAGTATTATGTAATGCTCCTATTTCATATACAAATGTGGTAACTGTTAAACAAAATAGTAAAACATTAGTTAAAACCTCTTTAAAGTGTCCCCAGTTCCCTCAAGCACTTCTGGGTGGGTCCTTTCTTTTTTTTTTTTCCTTAAGTATTTGCTTGAGCTGGAGCGATAGCACAGCGGGTAGGGCATTTTCCTTGCACGCAGCCAACATGGCCCACCCGAGTTCGATTCCTCCGTCCCTCTCGGAAAGCCCAGCAAGCTACAGAGAGGATCGAGCCCGCACAGCAAAACCTGGCAAGCCATGATGTATTCGATATGCTAAACACAGTAACAACCAAGTCTCACAATTGAGACGTTACTGGGCCCGCTAGAGCAAATCGATGAACAACGGGAAGTATTTGCTTACTTTTGTTTTAGGGAGCATTCCTGGCAAAGCTTGTGCCAGAAATACTCAGAGCCACACTCAGTGGTCCTACAGAACTGGGGGGAGACATACAGTACCTGGGACCAAATATAAAGCCTCAGAACTGCTAGTCATTTTCTACCACTTGAGCTTTCTCCTTGTCTCTGCTATTCTGTTGTGATGGGTATGAATATTTTCCCTGTTTGAAATAGGAAAACCCAGTTTCATATTCATTAAATACCTTAGAAGCATGTTCTAAATATTGTTTCCCTGCAGACATTTGAGTAAGCAGACGAAATTTGTTGTCTTGTAGCACATAGATGCCCTGTTCCAAAAAAAGAACAGAAAAAAAACCCTAAGTTAATCATCTATATTTGTTTTTCCCCTTTATTTCGTTGTTGTTTTTAGGACCATACGTAATGGTGCTCAGTGCTTAATCCTGCTCTGTGCTCAGGAATCATTGTTGGCGGGGTTCAGGGGAGATCATATGAGGTGCCAGTGAGACTCAGATTTGAGTCAGCAGCATGCAAGGCAAGGCCATACCTGTTATACTATCTTTCCAGCCCCTTATTGTTATATTAACAGAATTTTTAGGAAGAGAAATTATGACAACAAGTATGACAGCAACACAAGAGTTCTTTATAAGTTTAATGTGCTATATAAATTAAACAAATATATTTAGGATTCTGCATATTATCACCACTAATTAATAACAATTAAGAATCCTAAAACCTTTTTTTCTATTTATTTAGGATTTTGAGCTACCCCTAGCAATGCTCAGGGGGTCAATCCTGGCTCAGTACTCAGGAATTACCCCTGGTGGTGTTCACGGGACCATATGGGGTGCCAGGGATGGAACCCGGGTCAGCTGTGTGCAAGGCAAATACCCTACCTCCCGTACTATTCTAGTTCCTAAATATATATATATATATATATATATACATATATATATGTATATTAATTATTAATTACAGTCCTCAGGCCAGGTTAGTTTTCCTAGCCCCAGCAGGGTCCTAGTCTCGTCGTTACTTTTGGATCATCACAGCATTAGTCCATGATCGTGCCCTCAACTTGTAGTTGAGTATTGTGGCACTTTGGCCTGGCCCATTTCGATGCCAGGGTAGCTCAGAGCTTGCCCTGGGTCCATTCAGTCCCTCATCGGGATCCTGCTTTTGGGGTTCTAGGAACTAAGGACAACTGAGTCAAAAAGCAGATGCCCAGGAGTAAATATTATTCAGAGTCAATCAACTCCCAAGTTACAAAGCATAATATTAACTGTCTTCCTGTGTCCATACAGAAGGGACATTGCTTTACCTAAACTATGCAAAGGACATAACTTACAAGTTCAGTGTCCTTAGAAGGATCTGATCCTACAAGCTAACAGAATCTGATTAGGGAGAAAAGATGATTAACTGGCTGGGGAGGAGAGCACAGAGAAAAGTTGACAGATAAACAGAGGAATGGGAGTGACTCAGGAGCACTGTGATGGGTGTATCCCGATAAACCTGAGCTTCCTGTGGCAATGTTACTCTACACTAAAACTTTTATTACTCTAACATTTATTACCTTTTAAAACTTAAAATAACATAACAGTAAAAATGAAGAAACAGCTTTCATTACTAGTACTAGTCCCTTTGTTTTTAGACCTATTAAAGAATAAAAAGTAACAGCTTTTTTGGAAGATAGCCAGGGGGTCCTCAGGAGTTATTCCTGACAGGACTCAGATGCCAGAGTTCGAATTCAAGTCAGGCACGTGCAAGGCAAGCACCATGCCCACTATACTATACTGCCAACCCCAGGCATCACTTATTAATAGATTCCAAAGTTGACTAGAAATTTTTTGTTTTAAATAAATCACTTTTATAAACCACTTTTTTATATCACTTTATGTTGAAAAGACCTGAAAAATAAACTAAGATTATATAAATACCTGATGATTTGTCCTAAGATTGTCGATTTGTTTCTTGAATACTGTAGTCCAAAAATCTTTACAAACAAACTTCATTATATCTAACTCATCCTTGAATCTTGCAGTATCTTTTGTAAACCTAAAAAGAAGAACTACAAGTAATAGAGTATTTTTCCTTCTCAAAGAAAGCAGGACTTCTAATTACGGCAATTTTTGACAGTCATGAAGTTCACCAAGCAAAATAGATCTCATCTCTATGGATTCACATGTTATATAATTATAGGGTTAAAATTAATCTGACAGTATATTAATCTAATAGAAAGCTGTAATTTAAGGACAATTCATTTTACCTAAGCCTATCATGATATCGTCATATTAACTATAAGAAGTTCAACAAGCCAGGTAGTAACATAGGAATACTAAAGAAAAAAATCTATAAATTTTAAAATTACATGTATATAGACCTTTATTTTTAGGGGGTGGCCAATATTTGCCAATGCTTGGATAACTCTTGCAGTGTGCAGGACACTATGCAAAGGAGGAAATTAAACCTGGAGGCCCAGAGAACAAATATTGCATTTCTGTTCTTTGTAATATCTCCCTGGCCCCACAAATGAAAGACTTAAAAGTATTTTCATCCTATGCATTTAAGAGAAACTCCATTTAGATTAAACAACCTACAACACCTAAGTAACAAATACAAGATGATTTTTGTTGTTTCAGTGCACTGATATTTTCAGGGGAATCTATCTAAAGCATATAATGTTCTCTTCAAATATGAAAACATGAAAGTAAAACTGAGTTAAAATAACAAGAACTGAAAAGAAATTTTAATTTGTTAAAGAATAAAGAAGTAATAAAACTTGGGAACTAAAATTAAAGTATCTCAAGCTTTACTCAATCTTTAGAAATTGTTAGTTATAACCTACCTGGAAGAAAATTTTCAAATCCATACTGCTCACCTTTCTATCAATCCTTGTCCCACTCGAAACCCCATGTTTTCCAGTTTAGTAATACAGCGTCCATTTTCCTATTAAAAAATATATACACACGTACATTAGTTTTAATACTTTTAGAATACTAGATGTTATCATTCAAAAACTGCTTTTAAATGATTAAAATATTAATGCAGAGGCTGAAAATGTAGTACAGCATGTGCCCGACCTGGGTTCAATCCCTGTCATCCCCTATGGTCCCCCACGCACTGCCAGGAGTAATTCCTGAGTACAGAGCCAGAAGTTAGTCATGAACATCGCCAAGTGTGGTCATAAAAACCAAAAAATAAAATAATTTAAATACTTTTTTTTAGTAAAACATTAGCAAAAAGTGAATTAGTTACTCTTGAAAACTTTTGTGGTGCCAATAATTTTCATCACTGTATCACTGTATCACTGTCATCTCATTGTTCATCGATTTACTAAGCAAGCGCCAGTAACATATCAGTCCTGAGATTTTAGCAGCCTTTCCTTACTTGTCTTTCCCAATGCTGCCATATTGGAAGCTCTTTCAAGGTCAGGGGAATGAGACCCATTATTGTTAATGTTTTTGGCAAATCGACTACATCACAGGTAGTTTGCCAGGCTCTACCATGAATAGTTTTCATAAAAGGCCCTAAAGGCCCTCCCGTTGATCGTCGATTTGCTCGAGCGGGCCCAGTAACGTCTCCATTGGAGACTTTGTTGTTACTGTGTCTGGCATATCGAATACTCTCGGTAGCTTGCCGGGCTCTCCGAGAGGGGCGGAGGAATCGAACTCGGGTCGGCCATGTTGGCCGCTTGTAAGGCGAACGCCCTACCCGCTGTGCTATCGCTCCGAAAATTCTTCATTATTACTTTTCAGGAATGGTATGCCTCTAATTATACTAGCCCCTTTTTTTCTTTCAACTTTTTTTTCTCCTCAGTTATTAAAAGCTGGTATCACTTTTTACTACTTTCTGTGAAAGAAAAGCAGATCATTTAGAATACTGTTAACTGAAAACAGAAATATAAGGGCTCTCTTCAACAATAAAGATAAAGGTAGAAGATGGGTTCTGAGCAACATGTGGCTAATTATTCCTTACATCCTCATCATTCCCTTTAGATATCACTAAGTTCTATTGTTCATTCTTCAAAATATCTCTTAAGAGTCTTTCACTTTGGGGGCTGGAGAGAAAGTACAGTGGGTAGGGGATGTGGCTTGCACACAGCCAATCTGGGTTGAATCCCTGGCACTCCATATTCTCTCCTGAACCCACCAGGAGTGATCCCTGAGCATAGAGCCAGGAGTAACCCCTGAGCACCACTGAGTGTGCCTCTCCTCACACCCCTCCCCCCAAAAAAACCCCACTTCTAAGAATGTCTAGGCGGATTTTCTGGAGAGTACAGGAACACCTGACTTGCACACAGCTGCAAGTGCTTCAAATCCCAGCACTGCATATGAGCCCCTGGGCACCACCAGGAGTGGCCTGTGAGCAAGGTAAGGTGTGCCACCAATACCCCACATGCCCCAATATAAGTCTTTCACTTCCTACTTCTCAGCATGTCTAAGCTGATAAACCCAAGAGGACTCATTACTTGAAGAATTTTATTCTGTGCCACTATGTACTCCTCTAACAGAACTGTGCCTACTAATTATGTGCTTCCAGATTTTACCAAATATAGACATCAAGAGATCCCACAGTCCCCTCAAATTGAGCAGGCAAAATATTACCTTAAATGTTCTCAGCCTGCGCTTCCTCCAAAATTCCCTTTTCTCATTTAATGGTGGCATTAAAAAATTTATCAGAAAATATTCATTTCACCAAGAGTTATCAAAGAGGTGAAGAAGGGACTCTTGTATAGTGCTGTAGGCCCATCGTCCACATACTTCTCAAAACCCATCTCTCTTCATCCTTACAACTCAAGTGAGCCCGTAAGATTTCTGATTTTCAGTTATATCCTTATACATGACCTCACCTTTAGTTTTTCTTCTTCTTTTGATTCATTGTCTGTATTCTAGTAAAAACTGTCTAAAAAAGCAAATCGTATTTCTCTACTTAGCATTCCTCCACATCCCCTCTCCCCTTCAAAATAAAGGCCACTGCCTTATATGGCATTATGTACATTCCCTTAAATCATCTCTCACTAGTTAAATAAATTCACTAACAGTAATATACCCACAAACATCCTTCCTTCTAACCAGTCTGAAATTTCTGCAGCAACTCCACATCGCCATACTTTTCTTCTGCCTCCTTGCATACCTTGTTCCTTATACTGTATTCTCTAAAGTCAATTCACGTACGCTGGCCCACAGCTTTCTCCCTAATACTTCAGAACCAATGCCTCTGCAACACTCTGCACATGTATCAATTACTATTCTTATTCTTGTTTTTTCTTTTACTTTCCATATGCATCTCCAAACCTGCTCAGGCCAAAGTCATGATCTTCTTTGTGAAATTCTTCGACATTATGCCTTTATGATTTTTACACAGGTTATTATGGTTTACGGGCTGGAGCAACAGCACAATGGGTAGGGTGTTTGCCTTGCACACAGCCAACCCAGGTTCGATTCCTCCACCCCTCTCAGAGAGCCCAGCAAGCTACTGAGATTATCACCTGCATAGCAAAGCCTGGCAGGCTACCAGTGACATATTTGATATGCCAAACAACGTAACAAGTATCACAAAGGAGATGTTACTGGACCCGCTCGAGCAAACCGATGAACAACAGGAGGACAGTGACAAGTGACATTGTAGTTTACAATAGTATTGGAAGCTACTGTCTTATATTTGTAGTGCCAGTACACCAATCCCTCCATCATTATCCTAGGGTCCCTGCTCCTCTCCATTTACTTTGTCTCCTCAGTTACCAGTTCTATTGATCATGTCTCAGAATAATATTCTCTACAGAATCATTCAGAAATACACTAACAGGAAGTACGCTTAAATGCAGAGTTTCTTTTTGATGGGAGGGCTCCTGGGATCATTGGTGGTGGAGAATGGGCACTGGTGGAGGGATGGGTACTCTATCATTGTATGACTGAAATGCAAACACGAAAATTTGTAAGTATGTAACTGTACCTCACAGTGATTCACTAATAAAAAAATTTTTTTAAATTAAATGCAGAGTTTCTAAGTCTTAGTAAATACTTATCAATATTGATACTTGCTCATTTACTTTGGTGAATGAGGTCATGAAGAAAGCAGTGATTTTGGGGGGTTTTTTTTGTCTGTTTTTGGGCCACGCCTAGCAATGCTCAGAGGTTACTACTGGCTCTGCACAGAAATCACTCCTGGCAATGCTTGGGGGACCACATCTGGGGATCAAACTCGGGTTGGCCACACAAAAAGCAAGCTCTCTATACACTGAGCTATCTCTCCAGTCCCCTTGTTTTCATTTTAATCATAAATCTATTTTTATTCTCCCTACCCCCCACCATTCCATTGCCATTATGTTGATGCTATTATGGCAATGATTGGGGACTGTGAACTACAGTGACAGTGGTATGTATGTTCATCCCTTTTAGTTCCAGTGCTCACAGGATGTTGTGCCTCAGGCTGTAGTATTCAAACTCAGCCGCAGTGCTGAGGGCGGCACACCTTTTGGTGTGGCTCTTATACACATGCTCACCAGGGCTCACAGTTCGTGAAAATAATGAAGCACTGTTCATCAGGGTCTACTGCGGCACTCTCACACAAACTGGCCAGAACTACACTCTCTGGCTGTGGTACTCACATGTAATTTTTAGTTGCTCAGCAGGTTCATACCCCTTTCTGTGATACTTACCCATACCTGAGGGTAATATGGCTAGAAATTGCATGTGGCACCAGAGATCAGAGAGCAGAGCTGTCGGGATTGTACTCAGTGGGTGCAGGAAACTGGAATTAAACTTGTGACTATATGCTTGAAAAGCAGGTGATCCAAGCCCCTCCACTATTCTCTGTGCCTGACACCAGAATAATTTATCTTGAGGGCCAGGGAGAGAGCTCAAGGTGCTAGAAAACATGTCTCGCATACATGAACCTGGCTTCCCCCCACCAGTGCTGTCCTCCCCCTGCACCAAAAAAAAAAAAAAAGAAAGAAAATTAAACAAAAATATTTCATTCCTAGGTATTTTCTAAAGTTGGTTTTCAATAAACTTTTAAATGTCCGCTTGTTCTGGTTTTTCAGACTTAATTATTTTTTATGCAGTTTGAAAAATCACTGATTTAGAAGGGGGGATATTGGTTTTTTTCTTTACTCCACACCTCAAAGCTTATGAATTTTTCTGAAAAGATATAGAAAATAGAAAACCTATTTCTGGGACAAGAGACATAGCTCAAGTGGTAAAGCATGTGTCTAGTGACTTGAGTTCAATCCCCATCACTCAACCCACCAAAAAAAAAAAAGAGTTTAAATGACAAAAATTTAAGAACTTTCTTTCTGAACTTAGTCCTATACTAATTTTTCGCCAACAGGGAGTTCCCTTTCCTTTCTTTTCTACTTTTTTTGGGTCACACCCAGTGATGCACAGTGGCTCATGCACTCACAAATTACTCCTGGCAATGCTCAGGGGACCATATGGGATGCTAGGAATCAAACCTAGGTCAGCCACGTGCAAGGCAAATGCCCTTCCTGCTCCAGCCCCTCTTTTCTACATTTCAATAAAATTTTCCACTTTAAAAAATTTTTTAAAAGTATTTTCTTTTATGTTCATTAGCATATCTCTTAAAATTAGCAGTATAAGAAAAGCTGTTTGATTATGATTAATCAATTGGAAAAGAGTTGGATTAAAAAGATATACAAAGTTAGAGTTGAAAGACTAAAAATCGGGTTCGATTCCCAGCATCCCATATGGTCCCCTGAGCATCACCAGGAGTTGAGTGCAGAACCAGGAGTAACTCCTGTGCACTGCCAGAGGTGACCCAAAAAAAAAGAAAAAAAAAAAAAGAACTAAAAGTACCAGAACAGAATGAAGAAAATTGACTGTCAAGAGGCAAGGAAGCCAGGAATTTTACTCTTTTAAGAGTAAAGGAAGTATGCTGCTAGTTATTTTTTGGAGAAAAGGAAGACTGACTTTGCACTAATACCAAATAGCTGCTACTAAGGGCTTAGCACAGATTCAAAATTTACTCTAGATTAATATCTCCTGAATGTTGATGGTACAGCTAAAAGTTTCTGACTTGGAAGACAGGGATAGACATAGAAAGACTGCATTCATCTGGGGAACATAAAGTAACAAAATAGGAGACTAACACCCAAGAATGGCCGAGACTAGTACCAGGAATTTGCTCCATGGCTTAGAGGCCAGCCACACATGCTAGGGGAAAGGGGAGTTCAGAAAGAGATGGGAGCACCAAATAAAGGGTTTTGGGAGGATCCTCCCAGGATGGGAGAAGCATGCTGAAAGTAGACTATAGACCAAACATGATTGCCACTCAATGCCTCTCTTGCAAACCACAGGACCCAAAAGGAGAGAGAGAACACAAAGGAATGCCCTGCCACAGAGGCAGGGTAAGATGGGGGGTGGGGGGTGGGAGGGATGCTGGGACCCATGGTGGTGGAGGATGGGTGCTGGTGGAGGGATGGGTACTTGATCACTGTATAACTGAAACCCAAGCACAAAAATTTGTAAGTCTATAACTGTACCTCGTGGTGTCTCACTAATAAAAACTTAAAAATTAAAAAAAAAAGTTTCTGACTTGGGAAAGAAAAGTGTTACAGTGGGTCTAACTGGGAGCAGATCAGCTTCATTCCTATTATTTTTCCTGATGTCTCCTAATAATATCTCCCATTTAATTATGCCTATTGAATGTTTAAGTATTTGAATGTCAATCCCTTCCCAACTAAGTTCCCTGTCCCAATTTATATTACAGAAAACACTGATAGTAGTAGGAGGTGAGACCTGGGGAGATGATTCTGCCAAGAGAAAGGTGCCCCTTAAGGGCAGGATTAATAAGTGATGAAAATCAAAGCTGTCCATCTAACCCAACCAAACTGAAGACACTGCAGAGTAAGTGAGAAGTGAAAAAGGAAAGGTACAGAGCACAGAGGCCCAAAGTGAAGGCCAAGCAGTCACTGATGGGGCTGAGAAGAGTCCTCTGCATCCTCCAGAGAATCTTCAATAGGAGTGTGGGAGAACCATCTCACCCTCAGACCTGTCAACATCATCAATGAGGTCTGTTAAATGGCCCTGAAGAATGACCACAACTGGCATACGCAGAAGTTCTTTTAGCTTGTTACAGAGCTCCTGAGCACTCTCCCAGTGGCAGAGAGTGCCTGAACATGATCTGCCTCTTCCTGGTCAACTGCACTGCCGCCACCAATGACACCCACAACATGTACACCAAGAAGTCCCAGTCAATGACAGTCAATGTAAGCAACCCTGTGCACAACCACAGGCTAAAACTAATGCACTGATGGCCATCTCCCATTGCACCGCAAAGTTCCTCAGGGTCTGTAGGGGCCAAAGTGGTTTGTAAAAAAATTATTCTTGAGTGGGCTAGACCGATAGTACAGTGGGCAGGGTGCTTGCCTTGTACCCAGCCAGTACCAGTTAGATCCTTGGCACCCCATATTTTCCCCCAAGTCCTGTCAGGAATGGTCACTGAGTGTAGAGCAAGAGTAACTCTGAGCAACGGTGGCTGTGGCCCAAAAACAAATCAAAAAATGTCATTTGGGGGATCTATTCTAACGGAGTAATAAATAACTATGCTGCTTCCTAATCTCAGAACTCCATGATAATACCAACTGATTCAACACTTTCATTTCAGCATGGTAAAGCTCAATAATGTTGCAAAGTGGTTAGGGGTGTTTGCTTTGCATTCAGCTAACCCGGATTTGACTCCTAGCACCCCATATGGCTCTCTGAGTACTGCCAGGAGTAATCCCTGATGGCAGAGCTAGAAGTAGGCCCTGAGCAACGCCGATATGCGCTGCCTCCCCCCCCCACACACACACACACAGCTTCCTCCCAAAATTCTAGCTTCAGCTTTCAGTACTTCACACTCTTCATATTACACCTAGCCACAGTGAAATGTTTAAGCGTCTTCAAATCAACCACTATTCCATCTCTCTATGCCTTTAATTTTAACTACGCTTTTACTCCATGGACTTTTCAATCCTCGGTGTCAACGGTTTTACAAAAAGAACTTCTGACTTGAGCATGACTCCAGAATAGCACATAACAGCCATTACAACTCCATAGTTCTCTACCTAATCACCGAATCATCTGAACTACCTGAATCTCCAAAAATTGAGACCAGGATTTTATCTTATTCAACTAGGATAGTATCAGGCCCACAATACACACTTAGATTTTCTGAACGAACAAGGTCTTCTATATGTTATGATGGAAGACGAGGTCATTGTTTCATTAATTTCTGCATCTTTCCAGCGCTTTTACAACAAGTTGACATCTATGGAGCATTCTGAATTAAATCATCGGTGTCGCCTAAATACAAAAACGTCTGCAAATGTCCCTTTACTTTGACATCAAACCTCATTAGGCTTCTACCTCTGAGGTGTCTGGAGTGGTTTCCTGAGGGCTCAGGATGTGGGAAAAGGGACAAAACTCTGAGGCCGGGACAAGTCTGTATCGACTGGTAAGGTGCAGCAGAATTAAGTAGGGCTGCCAAACTCAGTGGTATACGGTAAATAACCCAGGACAAGCACAGAAGTGGAAAAAAAAATAAATCTAGCGTGCGGGGCCAACGAAGTTTCCTAATAACACGATCAGATGGGAAAGAGAAGAGGAGGAAAATCTAACGAGGGCCCCCTTGTTCTAGGATACCTGGTGGTGAACCCGCTAGTCCACACCTCGGGAAGCTTTACGCGGTGGAGGGCAGGGGCCTGGAAGGGGTGGGAAGGAGGGAGGGTGGACGAGGAGTGTCATCGCAAGAAGGCCGGATGGGGGTGAGGCAGCACTCACCACCTCCCCGTGCTCCGCGGACTTGTATACGCCAGACACCATCTCGTTATGGAGAAGCAAAAATAATGCCTCGTCCGCCATTTCCTGTTTATTCTTCCAAGCTCTGGGTTTCGCCGCCTTCTCTTTGGGCCGGGTTCGGGGGTTCCGGGCAGCGCCCGAACGACTTGGGATTGCGCTGCCACTCCCTCTATCCGCAGCTCGGTCTCACGTTGCTACGAAACCGGGGAATTCACCAGGCTTCGGGAACGCTGGGGAGCCCGGTACCGGGACAAGCCCACTCGGGGCCACACTCGGGCTGAACAATCTGACAGCACCGTGAACCAAATCCAGCCGGCCGCTCCGTTCGGCCCCTGGGCGGAGGGGGCGAAAAGACAACTTCCGGTCCGCTCTACCCCGACATTCCGCCAACTCTGTGGTCAGAGAATTCGTCCCCGCCTCCCGGGTGACTATTGGAGGAAAGCTCGTTTAGGACGTCGAAGGCGGGAAATCCTGGGCAAAGACGAAAGGGCTCCCGCTGACATCTTTTTAAATTAGCCCTGTTAGAAAAAAATGACAAAATTTATTCTCTTAATTAACCCATCCACTTCCTGTCATCTGTTCCCCAAGCTGAAAAGATGCTATAAATTTTTATTAAGAAATTATCCCAATTCATATCGATTAAGCCTGGGTACACAAAAATAGCTAGAAATTAAAATTTAAAAAATGAGGCCGGGAAGATAGTGTAGTGGACAGACATTTGCCTTAACACGCGGCCTATCTAGTTTGATTCCTGTCACCCCATAAGGTCCCCCAGGAGTAATCCTCTGAGCACAGAACCAGAAGTGGGCCCTGAGTACAGCCCTGTGTGCCCCTCACCCCCAAACAAAATTAGCACTGTTTCCTATTAGCACTGTCCTCCCGTTGTTCATGGATTTGCTCGAGTGGGCCCAGTAATGTCTCCATTGTGACACTGTTACTGTGTTTGGCATATCGAATACATCACGGGTACCTTGCCAGGCTCTGCCATGCGGGAGAGGTACTCTCTGTAGCTTGCCGGGCTCTCTGAGATGGGCGGAGAAATCAAACTCAGATAGGCCATATTGACTGCGTGCAAGCCAAACGCCCTACCGCTGTGCTATCGCTCCAGCCCCTCTCTCTCTATATATGTCTCCATATACATTCATATATGTCATGGTCCTCCCGTTGTTCATCGATTTGCTCGAGCGGGCCCAGTAATGTCTCCATCGTGAGACTTGTTGTTAATGTGTTTGGCATATCGAATACATCACGGGGAGCTTGCCAGGCTCTGCCATGTGGGCGAGATACTCTCAGTAGCTTACCGGGCTCTCCGAGAGGGGCAGAGGAATCAAACTCGGGTCAGCCATGTTGGCTGCGTGCAAGGCAAACGCCCTACCGCTTATTGTGAGTGGCAAGCAAAAGATAAAAGAATGCAGTAAAGAGAAAATGATATAAACATGAAACCTGTTAGTACACGATTTGTGAGTGGGAAAGTGCTCAACTTCAGAAGAGATATCCCTGTGAGATATATTTTCTGTGTGCTTTCCTCCTTCCCCCCACCTCCAACATCCAGTGGTGCTCGTTGGCCTACTCCAGTCTAAGGTACAGGGGGACCCTAAGATGTGCCTGGATCCAACTGGGCTTAGTGAGTGCAACGCAAACGCCCTAACCTCAAGGACCTGTAGTGCATGGGCTTGCTTCCGTGAACCCATATCTTGTCTGCTTTTCTCTGTTTCTTTTCTTTTCTCCACACTAAAGAAGCCTGTGTTCTCTCTACAACATACACTTCTCCCTCACATCTTTCTAAATGTTTCAATTAAACCTTGTTTCTGAGACAAAAAAAAAAGAACCATGGTAGATGTGAGCCTTAACTCCTACATAGAAGTAAATAACTGGCTAGAAAAACCCGCATATCTTAATTTTGAAATTTTCTGGTTTCAACTTGTTGTTAAGTCTATGATTAAATCTTCCAAGTCACAAAGCAGATTCCCCATCCCTACCCCCATTAATTCATTGCTTCCCCCATAATGGCATCTAGAACTTTCTTTGACTGGTAACAGTAATTTTTCAACTCCTTATACCCTTTCACAAGAATTTAAGATCATGCTCATGTTTCATATTGGAATTGGGGCAACTTTTGTTTTTGTATCTTACATCTTTATCGTGGGCTGGAGCTATAACACAGCCGTAGGGCGTTCGCCTTGCATGCAGCCAGCGGGGCCAAGTGGGGTTCGATTCCTTCACTCTTCTCAGAGAGCTCAGCAAGCTACCAGGAGTATCTTGCCTGCACCGCAAAGCCTGGCAAGCTACCCCTGAGGTATTGGATATGCCAAACATAGTAACAAGTGTCACAACAGAGACGTTAAAGGCCGGCTGGAACAAATTGATGAACAACGGGAGGACAGTGACAGTGATCTTTATCATCATACAAACCAAGCATAAAAATGTCACCAAAGCGCTTGAAACCGTGGAGTCTTTTTTTTAATTTTTATAACGGTGATGTAAGATTTTCCAGAACTGAAACTCCCCATATATCCTATCAATTTCTTTTGGAAGAATGCAATTCTCTCTTCCACATCAAGGAAAATTGGTCCAAATCATTTATTGAGGTTAGAGCATGCAACTGAACAATTTACTAAGCTTTATTTCTCAATCTACAGTAACGGGGTTCTATATCTAATCTAATGATTAAATTAATAAGTGGATCTTCCTGTTGCTTCATTCCCGGTTTTATTCCACTCATTTACATTTCATCTAATCCAGGTAATCCTTCCTCCCAACCCCCCTCTCTGGGCATGCGCACCAACAGAATAGCCACACCCTCTCCTAATCTAATCATTTATCCGGGAGCTAGAATAGACCCGCCTCCCAACTCTAAAGGGGTGAGTAAAAATGACGTCAGGCTCCAGGTTAAAAAGATGTGGAACAGTCGTCTCACCGCGTACGGAGCAGGCGCCCACAGCCTACCCTCACCTAAACCCTGAGCCCCCTCAAACCCGCCCAGACTCTGCAGTCTAGCCACCCGCAGCTAATCGGAGAGGGAGGAGACCACCCGGCCGACTTCTCATTGGTCCAGAGTCACAAAGACCGCAGCTTCCCCCCCTTCCGGTTGCTGAGTGGTCGAAGCCGGAAGACAACCCCTATTGTCATTGGCTGAGCCCAGCTGTCACTCATCTCTCGTCCCGCGGCGCGACACAGCCCGGCGCGGCCTGTAGAGCAGTCTCGAAGCCTGCTGCAGGGAGAAGATGGCGGTCGCAGTGAGAACTTTGCAGGAGCAGCTAGAAAAGGCCAAAGAGAGCCTCAAGAACGTGGATGAGAACATCCGCAAGCTCACTGGGCGGGACCCGAACGATGTGAGGTGAGGGCCGGAGGGGAATATGCCGGCTCCGAGAGGAGAGCCCGGAGGCTGGGGTGAATTGGGGGCGGGGAGGGTGACCCGCTCTGAGAAGATTGGAACCTGTAGGCCTGTTCCTGCAGACGCCGTAGCCCCTCGGCGTCCCTGCGGGCCGGAGTCGCCAGGCCCACCGCCCGTGCCCTCGGTGCCGGCGTCGCGGGGTGCGGGGCGGGAGCCGAGCCCCGGGGACGCCGGTGTGGAGGCTGCGCCGCCGCTTCCCGCCCTCGGCCCCGCGGGCCCGGAACTGCAGCACAAAGCCCCTTCCCCGTTGGGCAGCCGCGGGCGCCGCGCTCGGCCGGCCGCGCCCACGTGCGAGCCGCCTCGGGGCGGGCGGCCTGGGGGGCCGCGCCGGTGCGGCGTGGACCGAGGCATTGGCGCGAGTGTGGGTCCCGTGACGGCGGGGCTGGGGGAAGCGAAAGGGGACGCGGAGCTTGGCCGGCGGCTCGGCCGCGGGATTTTTCAAGCCGCCGCGCTGAGGGAATTTGGCGGGCTGTTGGTGCCTGGGGGCCGCGCCGCGGCGGGGCTCGCCCGAGCGCGCGCCTCTGCTTGGGGATGCTCGCTCAGCGCTCCTCCTTTTCTTTCCAGGCCCATCCAAGCCAGGTTGCTGGCCCTTTCCGGTCCTGGTGGAGGTCGGGGACGTGGTAGTTTATTGCTGAGGTAAGAGGTTCTTCGCCCCCGAACTCACGTGGCAAGCGTCGGTGGCTTTCGTGCCAAATCTGGGAGATCTCACGGAGGAGCCAGAGTTAGAAATCTGCCCGCGCCCAGACGAAAGCTGCCGCCGCCGGCGGCGGCGATTTCCTCCGTAGTCCTTGTTCCTCATTAATATGCATAACCAGAGATCGAATGAGATTGCTAATTCCACCGGTCCTGGGTCGTCCTTCTTGCGTGATTTTTGTTTCCCCCCTTCAATTGATAGAAGCATCAGGGCGTGAGCGTCCAAGTGAAGGTGACTCGATTTAGGGTGTGTGGGCGGGGTGTGCATAATAAAGGTTGCTTTAATTCAAAAGATTGGGGATGGTTTGGGCCACACTTGGCTGCGCTCAGGGGTTACTCTTGGCGTCTGCACTCTGCGAATTAAAATTACTACTGATAGTGCTCAGGAACCCACCTATGCGGGATCAAGCCCCAGTTGGCCGGTTCCAAGGCTAGCGCCTTCTCCACTGTACTATCTTTTCAGCACCTCAAAAGATTTTGGGGGTGGGGGGGCTGGAGCAATAGCACAGCAGGTAGGGCGTTTGCCTTGGACGCAGTCAACCCAGGTTCGATTCCCAGCATCCCATATGGTCCCCCGAGCACCGCCAGAAGTGACTCCTGAGTGCAAAGCCAGGAATAACCCCTGAGCATCGCCGGTGTGACCCAAAAAGCAAAAAAAAAAAAAATTGCATTAAACTCACAATAAGTAGAAATAACATCTTGAGTTTTAAGTGACTTACCCTGGCATTTCATTGCAGGCGTGGATTCTCAGATAGTGGAGGAGGACCCCCAGCCAAACAGAGAGACCTTGAAGGGGCAGTCAGTAGGTACGTGGGGGGGGGGGGGGGGGGGGAAAGATTCTGAAGATAGGCATGGGTGCCGTTCCTTCCTGAGAGGGCGAATGTTTATAATAAATATTGTAGGATTGAGCTTTATTGGAATTGAGTACAGTCTTAACACAGTGAGTCTTGGGATTTGAAATAGCTCCGTTTTGTGACGGTAATGACAGTTCTTAAATGATTATAGAAATATTTGTAAAATTTCACTTGCTTACCTTGGTTTACTATACTATGAAATTTCAGGAATGGAAAGTCTTTACAGACCAAGAAAACAGAATGGGCCCTATTGGTCTCTAGTTTTATGAAAAACCTAACCAGCATGGCAAATACAGATAGCTTGGATTGGGCCTTGATAATGCGTTTTTATCCTTTGCTTCTAAAGGGGAGTGTAATGGGATGGAAACTGATAGGCTAAGACTGAAAACGAATGCTATAAAAGTTATCACTTACCGTTGATGCTCTTAATTCTCTAGTGGTCACTTAATGTTATTTCTCTCCTGATAGGCTGGGTGGGGAGCGTCGGACTCGGAGAGAATCACGCCAAGAAAGCGACCCAGAGGATGATGATGTTAAGAAGGTAATAAGGGATCCAGAGAGATAATACAGGAAAGCAGTTGCCTGCATGTAGCTGATCTGAATTCAAACCAGGGTGCCACATGGATCCCTGAGCTCCGCCCATCTCCGCTCTACCCCACCCCAAAAGATAATTTGCGGGCTAGGGAGATTGCTCAGAATAATAGTAGAGCATTCTTTGCATACAGAAGTTCCCAGGTTTTAATTTCAGAGCACCGCCTGGGGTCCCCTTAAACACTATGCCAGGAGTTACTCCTTAGTACCATGAGATGACTTAGAACAAGAAAAGTCATCTGTGACTGAAATACCATTTTTTTCCATTTTTTTATAATTTTATTTATTGAATCACCGTGAGAGCAGTTACAAAGCTTTGGGGTCTAAGTCTCATTCATACAATGAAACACCCGTGCCTTCACCAGTGCCCATTCTCCACCACCAAAAACCCTAGAATACCCCCGCCCCACACCCTCCCCCCACCTGTAGGGCAGATGATTTCCACATTACTTTCTCTCTACTTTATGAAATAGCATTTTATGGGTGTATATAGTATTTCACTTTTCTACATTAACAGTAACTACCCAGTGTGTTAAATTGCTGTTTCTTTTCTCTTGCAGCCAGCTTTGCAGTCTTCAGTTGTAGCTACCTCCAAAGAACGCACACGTAGAGACCTTATCCAGGATCAAAATATGGATGAAAAGGGAAAGCAAAGGTATCTTTCTGATTCAGGTTTGGGTGTTGTTAAATAATGCAGTTTTAAGACAATTTCAAGAAATTCCTCAAGTGCTTATAGAAAATGATAGTTTTGGAATTAAGTGTATCCTACTGAAATGTAATTTTCTTTTTCTCTTAGGAACCGGCGAATATTTGGCTTGTTGATGGGCACCCTTCAAAAGTTTAAACAGGAATCCACTGTTGCTACTGAAAGGGTATTTATGCAGTTTTCCTTTAGCCTCCTTTAAGTTGTCAAAGTGATTGTACTTTTTTTTTTTTTATGTAGGAGTACTGCTATTCAGCCACTGATTAGCTGATTGAATTGGGCATGAACTCCACCTTACTTTTTTTCTTTTTTTCCATTTTTTATAATTTTATTTATTGGATCACTGTGAGAGCAGTTACAAAGCTTTCGGGTTTAAATTTTTCATACAGTGAAACACCTACACCTTCACCAGTGCCCATTCTCCACCCCAATAAAAACCTCAGTATACCCCCGTCCCAAACTCTCCCCCTACCTGTGGAGCAGATGGATTTCCACAACTACCTAATTTTTGGCCGTTTACTTTCTTGGTAAACTTTGCCCCAAGTTTTGGGGTCTGGTCAACGGCACAGCAGCAATTTTGGGGTATCTGGAAGCCTGAAGGCGCCATCAGGCTCTGGTGCACTCTCCTCACAGGTACAGAGTGACCTGCTGGCGGCACCATACCCCCGGTTGTACATTTTTTAAAAAAATAAGTTAAAATATATTCTGAACCTTTGCAAGTCTAATATAAAGACAAGAGAAATCTTGTAAAACTTGACTAATTCTATTTTGAGGTTCCTGTGAACTAATTGAGTAAAGTGCAACTCTCTGGCTCAGGAAAACCAAAGTTCTAGAACTTAATCAGCACTCTAGAAGTAAAAACATTCCACCTTCTAGTTTCCTATTTTGTTTTGCCAAAGAAAAAAGTGTGTCTTTGAAGTTGATCAAATCAATTGCTTCTAACCTTTATTATAGGCAATATTTTTAACCTGTTATTACATGTTAACTAAAAGCATTTAATATGAAGCAGTTGGTAGTTTATGAAAAGACATTAAATGAGTATGACTAGCTTCATTAGGATGGAAGGTAATCAGTTGGAAGACAGTCCTCCCCTTTTTTAGGTTTATAAAATAATTTTTCCTGGGGACAGGGAAAGTTAGTTGGGTTCTTATACACCACCAACCCAGATGTGATTTCCAGCGTCCCTTGTGCCCCAGCTACACAAAGTGGTACCGGAGCTCAGAGTCAGGAGTAAGCCCTGATCACTGCTATGTGTGCCACCCCACGCCCCTCCCAAAAAATAAAATTTTTCCCCCCCTTAAGTTGTGTTAGAATAGTTTTTGATACTATGGCTAATCAGCAGCCTTGAGTTTGAGATTTTACAAAAAGGGTTTGTCTTCGTTTCCTGAAAAATTAGAATTACCCTCAAGTGCTAAATTTACAGGAATTCTGAATTATAATTGAAACGTATGCAGATAACTTAGTTAAAATATGGTGTTTCAGATTATTAGAAAGTGTAGTAAGTAACTTAAAAACCAAAATTGTTATTTGTCTGTAGCAAAAGAGGCGACAGGAGATTGAACAGAAACTTGAAGTGCAGGCAGAGGAAGAAAGAAAGCAGGTTGAAAATGAGAGGAGAGAACTATTTGAGGAGAGGCGTGCTAAACAGACAGAATTGCGGCTTTTGGAACAGAAGGTTGAGCTTGCACAGCTGGTAAGTGGTGTTTTGAAATTCTAAAATTGGTGATCTTTCCTGTTTACAAAAGCACTGACCTTTTACCTTTTCTTTAGCAAGAAGAATGGAATGAGCATAATGCCAAAATAATTAAATATATAAGAACTAAGACAAAGCCCCATTTATTCTATATTCCTGGAAGAATGTGTCCAGCTACCCAAAAACTAATAGAAGAGTCACAGAGAAAAATGAATGGTAAGTATGTGAGAAGGTCTGTTGAAGTGTTCTTGATGGATAAGCTAATATAGTCACTTGTTTGATAATCAGGCTTTGTTTAGAATCACACCTGGTGGTTCAGATTCTTAAGATACTAATGGTGCGTGGTATAGGAACACTTGTTTTTGATGGAACTGAACCCAAAACTTTGTAGCAATGTTTTGGTTATTTTTAGTTTCATTTGTTTGGGGACCATACCTAGCAGAGCTCAGGCTTCATTAGGAATGATTAGGAATCACTCCTCTCGGGGCTCTGGGGATCATATGTGGGATTGAACCCAGGTGACCTGAGTGCACAAGGCAAGCACCATACCCAATGTGCTTTCTTGGGCCCAAAATGTAGAAATGTTCTTAAACATTTGTTGGAGGTGGCAGGTGATATACACGCTTTGGGTGAAGCGTTTCAATGTTCAGTGGCTCCTCCTGGTTCTTTATTCAAATGAGTTATCCCTGGTGATACACAGACATCGGTTAGTTTGCCACATGAAAGGCAAGTACCTTATTACCCTCTTATCTTCCCTGCACTGCATTTTTTCTTTAATATAAACTTTTTGTGCTATACCTAACAGTTTTCGGGGGACCATGTAAAATGCCTTGGGAAAACCAAGGTCAGCTACGTGCAAGGCAATCACCTTACTATCTCTATTAAAGGTAAAGGCCCGCCCGTTGATCGTCGATTTGCTCGAGCGGGCCCAGTAATGTCTCCATTGGAGACCTTGTTGTTACTGTGTCTGGCATATCGAATACTCTCGGTAGCTTGCCGGGCTCTCTGAGAGGGGTGGAGGAATCGAAATCGGGTCGGCCATGTTGGCTGCTTGTAAGGCAAACGCCCTACCCGCTGTGCTAGCCCAGCATTTTTATTTGAGTTAGGTGATTTTTTTTTTTTGGTTTGATAGTTTTAGTCAAATATAAATGCTAAATAAATAATGAAAAAAATAAACACTAGTGACAGGTGATTTGTCTACTTGGGCACAAAAAAACATGATTCAATATCATAAAACAGCAAAAGATCATCCACGGTTTTTCAGCAGTTAAGAAAATGTGGTATGGCTTTGTTAAATTTTTTAAGATTTTTTTTTTTAAATTGTGATTTACAAAGTTATTGGTGGTTGAGTTTTAGGTATGTAACATTTCAACACCAATTCAGCCACTAGTGTCAATTTCTCATATTCCCGCCCCAAAATTTCAGTGGTTGCAGCTTTGCCCTCATTTTTGTTATGTTGAGTCCATGTTTTGGATATATGACTGTATTGCTCGCTTGTCAGTGGTATAACTGAAGCCTTGAAGCCTGTTCATCTAAGTTTTATTAATATCTTGATATGGAACTTTCCAGTGGAGCTTGATTAGTCTTTTGTCAGTTTATAATTCTCATATCTTTTGACCTCTTTTTACGAAGAGTTTTTACATCAACTGATATTTTGTAACCAGCTGTCAAATTGTGTCTGAATTTCCTTAATTGTAGTGAATATGACAAATGTGAATTTTTATTCTTTAGCTTTATTTGAAGGTAGACGCATCGAATTTGCAGAACAAATAAATAAAATGGAGGCTAGGCCTAGAAGACAATCAATGAAGGAAAAAGAGCATCAGGTGGTGCGTAATGAAGAACAGAAGGCGGAACAAGAAGAGGGTAAGGTGGCTCAGCGAGAGGAAGAGTTGGAGGAGACAGGTAATCAGCACAATGATGTAGAAATAGAGGAAGCAGGAGAGGAAGAGGAGAAGGAAATAGGTATAATTCATAGTGATGCAGAGAAAGAACAGGAGGAGGAGGAACAAAAGCAGGAAATGGAGGTTAAGATGGAAGAGGAAACTGAGGTAAGGGAAAGTGAAAAGCAGCAGGATAGTCAGCCTGAAGAAGTTATGGATGTACTAGAGATGGTGGAGAGTGTCAAAAATGTAATTGCTGAGCAAGAGGTAATGGAAACCAATCAAGTTGAAAGTGTAGAACCTTCAGAAAATGAAACTAGTAAAGAATTGGAGCCAGAAATGGAATTTGAAGTTGAGCCAGATAAAGAATGTAAATCTCTTTCTCCTGCGAAAGAGAATTCCAGTGTTCTGGAAACGGAAACTGAGCCTGAGGACAAAGAAGAGAAAGAATCTGAGCCCCAACCTGAGCCTTTGGCTCAGTCCCAGACTCAGCCTCAGCCTCTGGCTCAGTCCCAGCCCCAAACTCAACCTCAACCTCAGCCTCAGCCTCAGCCTCAATCTCAGCCCCAGTCTCAGTCCCAAACAGTACTTCAGCCCCAACCTGTCTCTCAGCCTGAGACTTTGCCATTAGCTGTTTTACAGCCACCACCTCAGGTTATTCCGGAGCAAGGGCACTTACTACCTGAGAGGAAAGAGTTACCTGTAGAATCAATGAAACTGGCTGAGGTGACGGTAGAGCCAGTCTTGACAGCACATCCAGAGAGCAAGAGCAAAACCAAAACTAGGAGCAGGAGTAGAGGTCGAGCTAGAAATAAAACAAGCAAGAGTAGAAGTCGAAGCAGTAGCAGTAGTAGTTCTAGTAGTAGTTCGACCAGTAGCAGCAGTGGAAGTAGTTCGAGCAGTGGTAGTAGTAGTAGTCGAAGTAGCTCCAGTAGCAGCTCCAGTACAAGTGGCAGCAGCAGCAGAGATAGCAGCAGCAGCAGCACTAGTAGTAGTGAGAGTCGAAGTCGGAGTAGGGGCCGGGGGCATAATAGAGACAGAAAGCACAGAAGGAGTGTGGATCGGAAGAGAAGGGATACTTCAGGACTAGAAAGAAGTCACAAATCTTCAAAAGGTGGTAGTAGTAGAGATACAAAAGGATCAAAGGATAAGAATTCCCGATCCGACAGAAAGAGGTCTATTTCAGAGAGTAGTCGATCAGGCAAAAGATCTTCAAGAAGTGAAAGAGACCGAAAATCAGACAGGAAAGACAAAAGGCGTTAATGGAAGAAGCCAGGCTTTCTTTGCCTATTCTTTGCAGCAGAAGATTTCTTGATGAGTAAAAGGATTACCTTTCCTTGTAAGGAGGATGCTGCCTTAAGAATTGCATGTTGTAAAAAGTCTTTTGGAAAATACAAACTGTTTGTTTACCAGACATTCTTGTACTTTTTGCATAATTTTGTAAGAGTTATTTATCAAAATTATGTGAGGTTCCAAAATATGTAAAAATTATAATAATAAAAAAAGATTAACATCCCTTGTCATCTTTTTTAAATACTCTACACTCTTCAGTAAGAATCTGTATATTTTAATAGGTATATCTAAGTCTGTCCCCTTCTAATTCTGTATCATACATTGCTTTTGTAGAAATAAATGTGCATTTCTTTGATTAGTTTTGGGATGTTCTCGTTGACACTTGTACAATAAATAACCTCTTGATATTATTTTCAGCTTTTATCACTAGATTCTGAACATAATTAGAATGTCTTTGAAGGTTTCCTCACTTTCATTTGCCTTAGACAAATTATTTTGAGTTGTCGAAGTCAGATCTTTGCAGCTTTGAGGGAAACATTATTTGTTTTCCTTAAAATCATTTGCTATTTTTTTTAAGCTTGTTATTCTAATCTAAGTTTCTCAAACCATATATTTGGTAGGTAACTTAAAACGATGTTTTGGTTAGCATTTCCTTCATGATGAAGCATCAAGTTTGTTTTCATGGTTACTTGTGTGATACAGCATATACATTTGTTAAAATAATCACTTCTTTTAGGGGAGATAGAAAAGTATTTTCTAAATTTGGTTAAGTTTGTGGTCTTGTCTTTTGTGTTGGCTCTAACTGAAACATGCCAGTATGTGTTTTCAAAACTATTTGTTTAAGTAAGTAAGTATTGTATGGAAGTTTACAAAATGAAGGAAACTCATCTACACTTGAATCTGTAAGCAAGGTAATGCGCAAGTGTACCAAGTGATTAACTTTGTTGTTTTATAACTTTGTATGAATTTGGAGTATCTGTTGCCCATTACTATGTGCAAATAAATGTGGCTTAGACTTGTGACTGCTTAAGATTTGTATTAACTTTTTGGTGCATTGTTCAGAGAACGCTTTTTTTTTAATTTATTTTTTGGTTTTGGGGGTCACACCTGGCAGTGCTAGGAGTGCTGCTCGCTCCCAGCTCCTTGCTGGAAGTCCATCTGGTGCCAGGGATTGGTTCTGGGACTTCTACTTGGAAAGCATGTATTCCAGCCCAGTGAAATTACACCCCAGTCATTAGAGAATGTGTTATTTAAACCAGTCACAAAAAAAAGAAAAAAACAATTTAGCATTTACTGTAGCTTTAGGTTTGACTTTGGATATTCAGTATCCCTTCCTTTGACCGGTAACTGAAAGTGTCAACAAGTAATTTCAGGGGCTGGAGAGATAGTACAGCGGGTAGGGCATTTGCCTTGGACGCAGCCAACCCAGGTTCGATTCCCAGCATCCCATATGGTCCCCTGAGCACTGCCAGGAGTAACCCCTATGCATCGCCAGGTGTGACCCGAAAAGAAAAAGTAATTTCAACATTGTGTAAATATGCATGGATTTATTTTTTTAATGGTTTCTTGAAGTAATTTAGTAAGTGAGCAAAATAACTGCCTGCGTCTCTGGTCCAATTGTATCTTCATTGAGCGTCATTTAAGGAATTTTGTACTCTGGTTTGTACTGCAAATTCTACCTTGGAGGGGACTCTTATCAAAGAGCATTTAAAGGGCTGGGCATGCTAGGACCTGGTGATGCTTTGGTGTTATGGAAGACATGCAGTGCCAGGGACCAAACTCTGGTCCCTTTGAATGTAGGACATCCCCCAGGCCTCTCATCTACTTGCCCAGCTATGCACATTACAGTTTTCTTGTGCCATTATGGTGGGGGAGGCAGCGAAGACAGTTGGCAAACACCTAAAAGAATGGTCATAAATTTAGTTCCTAAAATCCTAAATCTAAAATTTTTATCAGTATCCTACAGATTAGCCTTCTAATCTACTGCTGAGCTACATCCTTGATACTTTAGTTTTCGAGGGAGTTAAAGGCCAACCAGGTAGTACAAGAGTGCTTTTCCTGACTGCTTCAGGGATCACTCTTGGTACAGGGGAGGGTCCACCATGTGGTTCTAGGCTTCAAACTAGGGTTAGACCCATTTTAGGCAAGTTCCTCAACCCCTGTTAACAGTCCAACCCTCATCTTAATTTTTGTGTTTTAAAGACTGATTTTTTTTCTATTTTTTAATCACTGTGAGAACAGTCACAAAGCCTTTCAGTGACTGCTTTTTTTCTTAAAAGTGAATTTTTATGTGCAGATAACTGGTTACTTGCAAAGATACATGAGGAATTTCAGTTAGAATTCCTAAAGGCGGGGAAAGAGAGAGGTACAAATTAGTGTTTATAATACAGTGTTTATAATAAAGCTGGAAATGGGTAGAGAGGACCCAGTAACTGCCAGGAGGCAGAGGCCTCCCGATACTCTTACTCCCAATGGTGTTCAGGAGGTCTAGGCACCCTTTTGCAATATTCAGCCAACCAGTACAAAGTAGTAGTACAAAGGCCCAAGGGTGTGTTGCTTTAACAAGTTCTACAGTACTGGCCCATTCCACCCATATTGGAGGGCTTTTTGGACTTGCATTCAATAGTGCTTAGGCAACCGTGTGGTGTTAGGAATTAAATACTGGTGCTGTGTTATTTGGGCACAGAGACTGAAATTATTTCACTTGGAATTGTTAGTGAAGGAATTGTTGAAGAAATATTTATTTGGTTTTTTTTTTTTTAAATATTACCACAGAAGTTAGCAAGTTTATAAATAAATGAGAGATACTGAAGCACTGGGGATTATTCTCAACATGCTTGGACTATTTCATGCCAAAGATCAAACCTGAACCTCCCACATTCAAAGCGTGCTTAGCCTATTGAGCATCTATTTGGTTCTAACAAATTTATTTCTTCCTAACATTTTTTGGGTTAATTTTGGGCTACGCCCTGCCATGCTCAAGGGCTGACTCAATGCTCTGCATTCAGGGATCTGTCTGGAGTGATTGGGGGATCCCTACAGGATGTCGAGGATCAAACCTGTGCGAGGCAAGTACTCTCTACCCACTGTACTATTGCTCCGGTCCCCATATAAGTTTTTATAAATCTGCTTTGAAATTCTTGAATAGAAGTAATCTCTAGGTTCCCTTTTTAAGATGCCAGCTCATTTTTCATAGTCAACCTTTGTACTTTAAACCAATGGGTACAGGTTGCAACCTTTCTACTCTAAACATATGGGGAAAAGTGATCGTGAGGTATTTTGAGATTTTTATGTGTATCTTGTCTCACCCGAATGACCTTTTCTCATATATATACAAATCCCATTCCCATTTAAGTATGTTATTTAAATTTCAACAAACATTAGCCTTTTTTTTCCCCTTTCAAAATGTTCTGACTGGGGCTGGAGCGATAGCACAGCAGGTAGGGCGTTTGCCTTGCACGGGGCCGACCCGAGTTCGATTCCCAGCATCCCATAGGGTCCCCTGAGCACTGCCAGGGGTAATTCCTGAGTGCAGAGCCAGGAGTAACCCCTGTGCATCTCCAGGTGTGACCCAAAAAGCAAAAAAATAAAAAATGTTCTGACAATCAGCATTGTGTGTGTGTGTGTGTGTGTGTGTGTACTTCAATTTATTTTATACTCATAGAACACGATCTCCCCCCCCCCCCCCAAACACACATCCCATTGCTTATTTCTAACATTGAGCCTTTCAGACAATATTCATATGAGTGGATTATGGCACTCCTTAATATGGCTTGTGATCTTTCCAATTTCAGTTTCATATCCAAATATGTTTGAAAGAGTAAGCCTAGATACATTAAGGAACTATTGTGATGGATTATCAAGGAAGAAAAGTAGAAAAGTTCAGAGGCAACTGGCTCAACTTGTATTTCCAGTCCTTTACCTATGGAAAGTGTGTTGAACAGAGTGGTGAAGTGATTAATTTCAACTGGTATGAAAAACTAAATAGAACCAAGAATGGAAACAACTGAGGAAATACTATAGTAAAAGAAATGTACGAATTGAAGTACAATGACAGACCAGGGTGGTAGTAGTAGTGAGAATGATTATCAAATTCTAGATATATCTTGATGATAATTTCAGGGGGATTATGAGAGGGAAAGAGTGATAGGACAGAACTCCAGAAATGGAGGTAAGCATTATTTCTAATTTCTAAATCAGACATTATTTCTATTTCTAAATCAGACCTACTTACTCATAGATAAACCTAAAAGACTACTTAAAAAAAATGGGAAGGTCAAGATCTGAGAGGAGAATATCTTAACAAGTGCCTAGCATTGGGTCCCATTTTATTTTCTCCCCAAACAACAATTCTGGAAAGGCTAAATAAAGATCTTGTATAGAACAAAGGAGCCATGTAATCAAATATTTTGAGTTCAACATTGATGGAAAGGAAGAGCTGTTAAATCATTCCCCAGACTTTGAGTTGGAATTCCAAAATGCTGTCACTGTCGCTGTCTTCCTATTGTTCATTGATTTGCTTGAGGGGGCCCAGTAACATTGTGAGACTTGTTACTGTATTTGGCATATCGAAAAAGTCACAGGTAGCTTGCCAGGCTTTGCTGTGCGGGCGGGATGCTCTCGGTAGCTTGCCGGGCTCTCCGAGACGGGTGGAGGATTCAAACCTGGGCGGGCCGCATTCAAGGCAGATGTTCTACCCACTGTAATATCGCTCCAGCCCTCCAAAATGCTACAATCTAGAAATACAGATGGACTACAAATAGACTAGTCCTAAAAGGGACTTAACCTTTTGGGAGTGGTGGTGCCATACTTAACTGAGTACTTGGTGTTTGCTAGAAGGACCACAGGTTGCTTTGGATCAAACCTCATTGTGATTTTCTAATTGAGAGCCAGATAGTACAGCAGGTAAAGCACTTGACTTTGCATGTGACTGATCTGCTTTGATCCTTAGCACCCAATATTGTTCCCTCAGCTCTGGAGGAGTATTACCTGAGTGAAGAGCCAGGAGTAAGCCCTGAATATTGCCAGATGTGGCCCAAAAACAGTAATAATAAATTAATAGTAAAAATGCAAAGGGATACAACCATGTGAACAAGCTACAAGATAATACCCTTTGTAGGTTCCTGATAATGTTTTGTCTATTATGGAAGCCTCACCTGGCAGTGCTCATGTCTTACTCCTGGCTCTGCTCTCAGGAATTACTCCTGGCAATGCTCAGGGAACGGTATAGGATGCTGAGTATCAATCTGGGTCAGCTATGTGCAGTAGACACCCTCCCTACTGTATGATCTCTCCAGTCCTGGATTCTGATAATGGTGATAATCAGCCATATACTTTATTTGTGATGCTGGGGATTAAATTTAGGCCTCAAACTTGCATGGCAAGTGACAACTACTGAGTTCCTTATCTGGCTCAGACATGGCCTTTAGGTAACCAACAATATTTGAAGTTCATATTTGCTTAGTATAAAATTCTAGGTTATTTTCTTCTGTACTTGAAGATAATTATCTTATTGTCTTTTATATCCTCTCTGTTGTCACTGTTGAGAAATCAGTTGAGTTTTATTTTTGCTCCTCTGAAGGTAATTCAAACCTTTTCCCCAATGCAGAGGAAAAATTTCAGGTCCAGATCATTTCATTAGTCAATTTTCAATTATCAGTTTAGTTAATTATCAATTTTGTCAAGATACTTCCAGAGAAAAAAGGAAGAGATAACATTTCTCAGTTCATTTAAAAATATTTATAGTAAATGAAAGACTGAAAAGGAGAAAAGAATCTATATACTAAGATCCCATGGCTGTTTCTCCCAGAAGAGAGCATAACATGAGGCCCCTATAACCATGCCACTGGAGTCCGCACCAGGCTGTTTCACACTGGGTATCCCAAAGGGGGGCGGGTGAGAGCCCTCCCCACCCCACGGGACCCAGCTCTGGCAGCCAAAAAACTCCACAACCTAACCTAACTACCGCCACACTCAAGGCCACTTCCCACACACTAGGGCCAAGCCTCACAGGTGAGTAAAT